GAGAACGCGTTTCCACTGCTCCAGAGTCCAATGGCGGCAAGCTTTACACCACTCCAGCCGACACTTGGTATTGCGCATGATGAACTTAGGCTTGTGTGCGGCTACTCGGCCATGGAAACCCATTTCGTGAAGCTCCTGATGAACAGTTATTGTGCTGACGTCGCTTCCAGAGGCAGTTTGGAACTTGGTAGTGAGTGTTGCAACCGAGGACAGACGATTTTTACGCGCTGCGCGCTTCAGCACTCGGTGGTCCCGTTCTGTGAGCTTTTGTGGCCTACCACTTCGCGGCTGAGCCGTTGTTGTTCCTTACAGTTGACCGGGGCAGCTCTAGCATGGCAGAAAGTTGACAAACTGACTTGTTGGAAAGGTGCCATCCTATGACAGTGCCACGTTGAAAGTCATTGAGCTCTTCAGTAAGGCCATTCTACTGCCAATGTTTGTCTACGGAGATTGCATAGCTGTGTGCTCGATTTTATACACCTGTCAGCAACTGGTGTGGCTGAATAGCCGAATCCACTGAAGTGTATATATTTTATTCCATACAACTGTCTTCATCCTTTATACATTATCTGACCCAGGTCTGGGCGGCTGAGAGGGGGCTTTAGGCTAACTCTGTGATTTAACTGCAAATCAGAGACCCGCGAGGCTACTCTCTGTCTGTCTTGTCGCAGATCATTGACTTTCATGGGGGCACGCCGCGTCTCCGATGAATATAAAATTCATGAGAGTAGAAAGACCGCATGGGTGCACTGCGAGGACGCCTGCATTGCAAGGACCTTTACATGCTATAAAAACACCCCATTCAACCACCAGTACCACATTTCTGTGACTTTCAAGACCCGTGCAATCCGAGTCGAATAGCATGAGAGAGTGAGAAATGAATAAAAGATTAGAACTTTGCAAGGAGCATTTTCAGAGAGAGTGGGTTTTCAGCCAAGCAGTATATAAGGGATATTTTTATGTAAGAGAGGTATCCATCAATGAGGGTATGTGTCTGTGCTTGTGGAATTGTTACAAGCTGCATTGACTTTCATTGTGTTTTTATTTACATGAGTGTGTGAGTGTGTGTGTGTGTTTGTGAGTGTGTGTGTGTGTGTGTGTGTGTGTGTGTGTGTGTGTGAGTGAGCGTGTGAGTGTGTGTGTGAGTGTGTGTGTGTGTGTGTGTGTGTGTGTGAGAGTGAGAGTGTGTGTGTGTGTGTGTGTGTGAATTTGTGTGTGTGTGTGTGTGTTTGGGAGTGTGTGTGTGAGTTTGTGTGTGTGAGTGTGTGTGTGCGCGTGGGTGTGTGTGTGTGTGTGTGTGTGTGTGTGAGTGTGCGCGTGTGTGTGTGCGTGTGTGTGTGTGTGTGAGAGCGTGTGCGTGTGTGTGTGTGTGTGTGTGTGTGTGTGTGTGTGTGTGTATACTGTACCACAGCTCCAGGTTCTCCACGGTCCCCTCTCCCTCCTCTGATCCCAGGACCTCCCTGTTGATAACACAAACACACACCCTCTGTCACACTCCATCAACATAAGGACTACAGACCTTAAAGACACACACTATCAACACATCCTAAACAGACTATCACACACCGGGTGTATGTACTGTAGCTATGTACAGTATATATCCCTCTCCATCCCCAAATGTCACACTGTGTTCTGTTCATCAGCCACTGAATGCAATGAATTAGTTCCTAGCTCAACAACAGCTGTAAGTAACACATGATGCTGATGAAGGAGAGAAGGAGGGTCCTCACAGGGGGTCCAGTGGGGCCGGGGGGACCTTTGCTTTCCTGGGTGCAGGTGCAGGCACGGGGCATGGCAGGACAGTCCTCCTCCTTCCTCTTAGAGATGAGACAAATACCACCATAACATGACTATGCTACTGTATGACCACATGACAGTACATGCAACACAAGAGTGCAATGACCTAATGATTATGATAATGACCAAAGCGTACTGATAATGAGGATAATGATGAAAATAGGATAATGACCGCATGACAACACAATAAGAAGATGATCCAATATGACATATATGACACGATCCTACGACATGCAACTACACATTACACAACAAAGGTTAAGGTCATTCCGTGTCAGTCAATAGATGAGATCAGTAGTGAGGCTTGAACTCACCAAACCAGGAAGCTCACAGCACTTGTCTCGGCTGGCCCAGGATGTGCTGCAGACGATGTCAAACGACTGCAGTTGAAACTGAGGACAAAAAAACAACAAACACACACATCTTTTTTTACATTCACTACAAACAGGTTGTGCTACTTTACTAATAGTCTCTTGATAAAACCAGCAGCAAGCTGTGAATCTCCTAAATATGACCTGAGAGAAAGTACGATCATTCTGCAGTATTACGCATTGCTAACAGAATTGTTGCACATCTCTTATTGAGGAGGAAGAATCTATCAATAATTGGTCTCTCCAAACAGATTGCTCTGTTTTCTCCTCCTGTGCTGAAAGGGGTCAATTTGAAATACAAATGTGAAGAGTTTTTGTCAAAGGAAGAAAATGATCAAGCCTATCAGAGAGTACATCTCACTGCTATTCCTGTATGAGAATATCTGGGCTATTTATGGAACTGGGAGATTGGATATGAAAAGTACAGTTGTTTCTATGACTTGTTTCTATTTAGTGGAAAATGGATCTTGAAGTGCTGATGTGATTATACTTCATTCAAACCCTCTGTCTTAATGCTGTTTTAAGAATTCATAACCTAGGTCATAGGTAGTTTATCCCCCACTGTATTGAATACTGTATGACACTAAACATCATACTGTACTGTAAGGCACGTTAGAATTCAGCCCGACTGTATAAGGCGAATCAAGGGTTTAAAAATGCATAGAAATCCAATTACAGAATATTTACATGGATATTGAATGGGGATGTCCTTAGAACTACAGTATATTCTAGTAATTTCACATCTATGTCAAAACGGCTCCTTGTATACCCTCTCTGATCTATCTGGCACAGTTTCTGACTATGAGGCTTACCGGTGCAGAGTTGCCCTTTTTCCCCCTGGAGCGCACCATGCGTCCCAGCACCTCCAGGCCATCCGTGGTGATGTTGCCCGCCGCGTTGATGGCCTTCTCCCCCACTAGCTTACAGTCGATGACAGCCTTGGCGCTGGTCTTGCTAATAGCCACGTGCAGCTACAGGGAAAATTAAGAACCAGACTTGGGTTCAAATACTATTTGAAATCTTTCAAATAGTTTGAGCGTTTGTAAAAGCCTGCCTGGAGTGCCACTTCGGCAGGGTTTACACTTTTGTGGCTATTCTATTGGTTCCATGGCGCCAGGCAAGCTCAATCCTAAACACAGCTAAATTATCCTAAATTATTTAAAATAGTATTTGAACCCAAGTCTGTTTGGAACACAGACGCAGTGGGATTGAAAAGTCTTATGTGTGCGTCTCAATAAATCTCAACCGGGGAGCATTACAGAGTTGTGGACGGACATAATTTTTTCCGAAAACAGACAGAGGTTCAAAGAGACACAGGCTGTAAAATAAGGACCGCTTTATCATTTCGGACAGATTTCTGCGTGAGCATTCCACCAGTCACCCGAAACAAAAGAGTCGGTTTTGAAGTCGGGTGATTTCAGACGTTTTTGTGCCAAATAAAATATTTGCTTTTTTTCTACCTTTGACACATCAAGCTTCTACTGTATGCTTTGTTGGAAACGGGATGTCTCGTGGGGAAATATATGGGGGAATTTCAAGACATTAGCAACATCACATATCTATTCATACCTGAATATCAACTGTAAATGTTTGTCTTTATGAAACAGCACTTTCAGCTTTGTTTGACATTGGTGCATTACTATGCTAAATCTCTGATAAGGACGGAACTGTAGCATTTCCTTTGCATTTATCCCTTTTTTCCTACAAAAACAGATTCCTGATGAATCATTTGAATTAGGCAACAAAAATGTTTTAAACACCCACTGCAATGCAAGGAGTCAGAGAAGTATCTAGCCATCAATCAAGTCTTCTTGAGAGGTAATCTAAAATGTTACCGCATTAACACCAAGCCTGATGGGCGAAGTGCTGACAAGATGACACATGAGAATACTTATGGATTGGCAGGGGAAAGAATTGCAGAAATCACTGGTGATAATTTGCTGAGGAAAAAGGCAACAGTGCGTTCCTTGAATACAGGCCATAGTCACTTTCAGTCACATCAATTTCCTCCACCCTGCATAGTTAAGTTTGTTTAGCTTGTTTGGAAGTGGCTATGATTCAAATTTGCATATATTATCCTGGCAATATTTGGGGTGCCAGCTTCATTCCACATGGTTTGCATTTTTTTAAAGATGTTTTATTTATTTCAGCAGAAATACGATGGCCATTACTTTTGAGCGTCATAATAGCACAGTATTACCCACAGTATACATTAATGCTACAGCTACACACTGTTTAGTGGTCCTGTGTGGCTCAGTTGGTAGAGCATTGTGCTTGCAACGCTAAGAGTTCGATTCTCAACGCTAAGAGTTGTGGGTTCGATTCCCACTGGCGCCACCCATATGCATGCATGATTGTAAGTCGCTTTGAATAAAAATGTCTGCTAATTGGCATATTATTATTGTGCAGCAAAAAAGTTGAAGAAATTTGAACAGTCAAAACATAAGTGATTTACAAACTGCATCAAAAAAGGTAGGTGTTTGTTTCAGGTGCTAAATCTCACTCATGGATGATAATGTCAGTTGCCAAGCAAAGTTTTGGCATCCATAGAAAGTGTATTCAGGGTGACCTGAATACACTATCAGATAACTGTGCCAGTGAAGAAGTCCGCTTGGTAATGATAATTGTTGCATTGTGTTCTCCTAATATCCTCATTCACTTAAGCAGCAGGCCATATATGTGGGCAAAGGTATTGTTAGCCCTGATAACATAGGAGTCTACAGCCATGTCTCAGGCCTAAGGTATTGTTAGCTCCACTGATAGCCAGACAAGAGTGACTTAACATCACAACAAGCTGGCTTATAGCCAGGAAGCAGGACATTCCCTGAGGTGTTAGGGTGATGTTGTAGCAGCGATGCACTGAGGAAGTGAGATAAGTGAGTGTTTCTGAACTTTGACCTTGTGGAAACTGCCGTAGAAGAGCTTCTTGATCTCAGGTCCCTCGAAGGTCACAGTCTGAAACTGTCCTTTGTAGTCGTGGTTGAAGAAGGTGAGGGTCTTGCCACCGTCTAGAGTTGGAAAGAGAACGTTTGCCTTACTTTCTGCAGTTTCATAACATATTCAGTACAACTCGAATATAGTGAGGAATGTTCTCGTTTCAAATAGAGGAGGCATGGACGGTTTAGTAGACATGTAGCCTACATTGAGAAAATGTTTGAACATGCGAATGATTTACACACAAATCATTGTGCTGCTCACAATTGATAAACAAGCAGAGACTGTCCATTGCTTTGTCTATCTTATGACAGCAACCAAACAGTGGGAACTTGACACACGGTCCCAGCTAAGTCCCAGCCCCGTCCCCCAGCATTCTACTAACTGTCCAGGATGACGCCCACCAGGGGCTCGTTGTCCTTGTTGAGGATCTCCCACAATGCAAAGGGCTCCTTGGGGGTTTCAGGCAGCAGGCGGAACAGCATAGTGATGGTGTAATCGGAGGGCAAACCCTCGGGGTGGATAAACCTGGGGTGGAAAGTTCACAGAACAGGAGGCTCTAGTCTGAACATACAATGGCTTTTGTTGAAGCCCCTTCACAGAGTTAAACTGTTATTAAACACCATTTCAAAAGCTGTTTCAACTTGCCAATTCAATTATTTCATTAGTGTCATTCAATTCTAAAGAGAGGTCAGGAGCAGGAAGCTATTGTTTCTTCATACTGTATATGGACCATATTTCCTGCATTTTAATTTGAGAATGAGATACAAAATGACTATGTTTTCTGTGATGTGGGATTGTTGCAGATAAAGGAGAGGAAATAAACCAGGTGAGGCCAGCTGTCTGTCATTATCACCACCTCTTCATTGTAATAGCAGCATTTTCAGGCCAAGTGACAGGAAAATAAGATTCAATTCAGGGGAGTAGGGTAAGTTGTATGTTGTAATGTTTACATTTAGCAGACGCTCTTATCCAGAGCGACTTACAAGAGCAATTAGGGTTAAGTGCCTTGCTCAAGGGCACATCAACAGATTTTTCACCTAGTCAGCTTGGGGATTCGAACCAGCGTCCTTTCGGTTTCTGGCCCAACGCTCTTAACCACTAGGCTACCTTATGTTATCATTGGGTAAAGTAGCTTTATGTGAAGTGTCATATACTGTTAAGCAACCTGCATCATGCTCATTGTACTCACTGACGTTTTGTCGCTTTGGACAAGAGCGTCTACTAAATTCTACCTGATTGATGGAAGGCAATGTACTGTTATGCCTTTTAGTTAAGATGCTATTGTCCATACTTGGTGGGCTGGGCGAGGAGGGAGTTGTTGTGCAGGCGGAAGCATGGGAAGCTGTTGAAGGTGCCAGGCTCCATGGACACTCCTGATACATGTCCATGCACACCCTCCACCAGTCTAAACATCTCCATCATCCTGAAACCTGCAGCCACAACATAAACAACCATGAGTTGGTTTAAAAGCAGATATATCCATACACAGTCCTACTGATAAGTAAAAAATCATTTGTTTGAATTGTGACTGGCTCTGTTTTTATCATGATTTCTCAATACTGAGCTTCTACTTCTTATCATTAAAGATATTCTGACTTAAATGTGCACTCGGAAAGAGGCCATTTTAGGCAGTGTTAATGGTATGGGTTGGCACTTCAGAGTCCAGAGTTTGCACTTATCTGATGTGCACTTAGCAGCAGTCAACTGTACTGTACCTGTCCAGTTTACAGTGATTTTGTGCATAACAGTTATACTGGGGTCGGAACTAGTCAACGGGTCAGAGAGTAGAGAGGTCTTGACTGTGCCCTGTGTGCCAGGAGGCATGAATAAGTAAGTATGCTCCAGTCTCTAACCTGGCAAGGTACTGCCACTCATCACCACCGAAGGACAAGCTGAAAGACAAAACATTTATGTCACTCCATGGCAATAATATGCCGCCTGTGTTTTTGAATAACATAGATTTAAGATTGTGCTCCTGTAGGACTCACTGGCAGTGGCAGCCTCACAAACAAAGGTGACCAGCTTTTCCTCAATTTTCTTGAAGGCGTCTAAATCGTCCACAAAGAAAACGTGTCTCTCGCTGGGCTTGCTGGCGATGCTCACCAGCTCCCCGTAGTCCGCATCCGCAAAACCAATGGCAAAAACAATGTACCCTGTGAAGAAGGTAAGCATACAGTATTGCCAATAGTGTGTAATGTGCATACCTAACTATAACATTTTGTTGGATTAACATATATCGATACTTTTCTGTGTTGTAGAATGTTATTTTCATGTACCACATTCTATTCAATTGAATTATTGCATCATGTGCCTCACCTTCCGTCTGCATCTCTTTAGAGACCTTGTTGACATCGTCCTGAGAGCGCCCGTCAGTCAACACCACCAGTACTTTGGGGATGCCCCTCCGGATCCCTCCTCCCACTGTGAAGATGGTGTCTTTCACATGCCGGATGGCTAGCCCTACAGTAAGAGAATTAGAGGGAGGGATGGAGGGATAGAGGGAGAGAGAGAGAGAGGGAGGAAAGGAGGGGAAAATTAAGCGATATTGACAGCAGGATCTAGCCAGGTTACTTGGTAGAGGATCATAGTTTTGGGTTATCACTATCTCAGCAACAACACATTTTCTTCGTTATTAGTCCCATCCCACCTGCAACTATACACATTACAAAGGAGAACACAATGCAACAATTATCATTACCAAGCAGACTTCTTCGTTGCATCCGTTTGAAAAAAAGAAAACATTGTTAGATGACTTGGAGAATGCATTATCGCTCCCCTTGGGGATCCTGGGTTTGGTACAACAACAAAAAAACACTGATTAATGTCAGCGTCTCACTGTTCTTCGGAAGCCGCGCTTGATTACTCTGGCCTGCCTGATTACAATGACTGATTTTTTTTCGGCAGGTTACAAAAGGAATGTCAATAAGGGGTATTTCTGTTCATCTGGCAGCTACAGCTGTCTAAATGGGATTCAGTTATCCTGTTCATTTACTGTTATGGGAGTCCATTTAGACATTTTATGAAAAATAAATAGGAACTTAAATAAAAACTCAAAAATGTTTTACCTTCATACTTATCATCTCCAGCACCACCCCAACATACACATATGTGAAAATGGTGCGTTTCTATGTTTTGTCGTAAACAAGATAGAGGAAGATAAGTGTTTCCAATGACATCATCGGTGTGCATAGTGTGATTTTGACCAATTGTGAGTAGGCATTACCTACTAATTACCTACTAATTGTCTACTAATTGGTTGATGATGTCATTAGAAACACTTATCTTTCTCAATCTTTTTTACTACAAGACATAGAAACGTGCCATTTTCACATATGTTGATGTTGGGGTGGTGCTGGAGATGACGAATATAAAGTAGAACATTTTTGAAATGTCCCTTTAATGTATGCTTCAGAGTAATAGTATGAAAACTCCACATTGTAAGAGAGTGAATAAGGTTGACAAAGGTGTGCCTTGATGGTTGAAACACTCTTTTTAATAAAGTGAATAAGACCTGTTGTCCACTTGCCTGTCTTGGTGTTCCCTCCCTTGTAGGAGATACGGTTAATGGCCTCTAGCAGCCTCTCCTTGTTGTCGTACGAGTTGAGTTTGAACTCGGTTCTGGCATCGTCACTGAACTGGACAATGGCCACCTGATGGGAAAAATATATTTTGAGTTGAATTGAAAATGTGGCATTTCAGAGTATTTTGTGTGTGTGTGTGTGTGGGGGGGGGGGGGGGGGGGGGGGGTAGTTGTAAAGTAGTGGACTAATAATGGACGGCATAAATGTATTGTTCATAAAAACACACGTGACATATAGTCAAACATAGGTGTTTCATTTATGACAGTACTGTACAGATGTAGGATCGTAATTTTAGCCAGTTTGGTCCAGCAGGAAAATAATCCTGCAGCAACAGGAAATGGGAAGTATTATGTGGATTATAATTAATGGACAGTTTTGTAGAGGTTGATACATTTTTCATAAGGGAAAAGAAAGTCTGAAATTACAAACTTCAGAAGCCTTTTTAAACCTCAAATACACTACAAATGTTACATTTCCTGGATTGCAGGAAAGTTATCCTGCAACAGGGTGATCCAATTAAGATCCTACATCTGTAAATGCTAGCTGGCCACAGGACCATTGGTTGGTCTAGTCAATCTTTTTACCTGAGTGCCATCTGGTCCAATGGTGTTGAGGGCTCCTGTGGTGCTGTACAGGAAGCGGATGATTTTCAGGAAGCTGTCATCCCCGATGCTCCAGGAGCCGTCCACTAGGAAAGCCAGGTCTGCCTTGGCTGCCTTGCAAACTGTCAGGAGAGAAAGAAGGAGAGAGAGGAGAGAGAAAGAGAGAGAGAGAAGTAGGTACAAGTAGGTGCAGGGAGGAGGAAGAGGGTTGAGAAGAAATGAGGAAAGAGAGAGGAGGGATGAGGAGTGAGAAAATGAGAGGGGGAGAGGGTAGAGAGTGGAAGAGTGAGAGAAAGTAATATACAAACAGAGAAAGAGACATAGGGAGACAGAAAAGTGCATTTACATTTACAAGCCAATTAGAACATGCTCTTACCAAGAGCAATTTAAATTCAGTGCATACAATAAGAGTTCCGATAAACAGCATATATAGAGGTAATACAAACAGAGGGTAGAGAACAACACACACTAGCCTCACAGGCAGCAGTGGAAGAATCACAATGGAGAGCGGGGAGAGCGTTCTCATTCTCCACGGGTTACGAGAGAGGAGCTGTGATGATTGGCAATTATCTCAACAACTTCCCTCTCTCATATCAGGGCCAGCCAGGGACAGATTGACCAGTACAACACCTCATTTCCTGTTGTTTGCTTTCGTTTTCTGTTTTGTTCTGCTCTGTGATTTTCAAAGGAACCAAATATAATAACCAAGTTGCTAGTATGTGGGAAGCAAAGTGAACTAAAAGTTGCATTTGTTGATGTTTCCTAGGCAAACAATAACAATAATAAAACAATTCGAATTACAGGCTTGGAAATTGACTTGGTCTGAGTTCCGACAGAGAGGGGAGTGAGTTTTCAATTAACTTTTACAAGACTCATCCCAGAAAACTGTGTAAGAAGAAAGAAAACAGCTAAGATTATTGTTCTCAAAAACAGCAAATAAAGTTAAACGTATACTTATTTTCTACACGTTATATCTTCAGAATTGTAAACTACGAAATATTCTGACTTGAAACTCAAGATACAAGACTGTAACACAAGTTCCGGCTTACAGTATTATATCAGACTCAAAAGCTCATAATGGGACAATTTTTGGAAGTCTGAAAAGATTTGTGATTATCCCAAAAGCACATTAAACAGCTTTACTATCATTTCAGACATCTGTACTCAATAGACACTGCGTATATGAACTTGTATTAGATTCACAAATTTGTGTCAGGAGTCATTTGAGGTTTGAATGTCAGTCAGGGACCGGTTGAAAATTGACCTAGCAACTTGACAGAGTGATTTCCATGGTAACTGCCTGTTCTGAGGGCTCTCCGGTTTACCTTTAATATCTTTAGTCTTGACTGCGCTAGTGCTAGTTATTCAACTGGGGGCATTGCCTGGTAGCCAAAGCCCTTTGAATTTCCTTGAGCACCAAACAAAATTATGTTAAGGTTAATGCCACTCAAAGTGAGTTGCACTCAAATACATGTGTAGATAATCTACCATAGGGGATATCGCTACAGTATCTGTTCACTGATGGGTGGTGACTTGTGAGCATTCGGGCGCAAAATAGCTACCATACATCACCCAGGTAGATGTTCACAGTGGTGGTGGACAGTCTGAGTTCCCTTTACCTCATAAAGGTACATGAAGTGCTTTGAGACCAAGCCAAAAGCACTATAGCTTACTAAACACAATTCAGACCTAAAGTATTTCTCTCCAGCAGCCCACCCAAGATATTACTAGGGAAAACATTATTAAAGTGGCATTATTAAAGTGACTAGTGTTCCATTTATTAAAGTGGCCAGTGATTTTCAAGTCTGTATGTAGGAAGCAGCCTCTCTGTGCTAGTGATAGGAATGGAGTGGAAATACCCTCTTATTAGACGATCGCACCACTATAGGACCCACAGGTATTTGTTTACAACAGGCCTTTTGCCTTACCTTCCTTGGCTGAGGGTACAGTGGGAGGAGGGGTTGTAGTGGGTGGCCTGGTGGGTGCCGGGGTGGGAACAGGGACTGCATGAAAGCAAGGACATAAGACACACACAAAGCATTATAACATCCTTATTACATGTCTATGTCACCTCACCTGACAAACATGCTTGGTGAGGCTTTCATTTACAGTTAAAAAATGGCTTCACACAGAAGATACCACATTGATAAAACCATCAAACATAATATATATAATCAGTCGGATGATAGAAGAATCAGAAGGAATTTAGAGAGTAAATCCGAGATGGTAGCTTATGCTTAGCAGCATGCCGAGTTTATGATTAAGTTACCCATATAATTTGCTAGCTTGATCCCTACCAACAGCGGCAGTCAAATTGAAATGAATTATACCGTAGACTTTACCGCCGTAGTAATTCAGCTACGTGAAACTGGGAATTATTTTTGATGGCAGCCTGGAGAAACACAGGGCAATTTAAAAAGGCCTTTAGCTGTAATCTGTATCAAAACAAAACTTTAAAACAGTGTCTAAACTCGACGTAAATCAACTCAATGCAAACAAATGCCTGGTGGGTTAGAGAGAGTGCCTTAATTACTGTTGTGAGTTGGCCACAGACCCAATCACGATTCACTCCTAAGGGAGGCATTCCCTCCCAGGAGGCTAATAATGTTGTGAAAATGTTGTGATTGTCTGTAAGTCATGTGGCTGTATGTTTGGTTTGGATAACATTGTAAGAATGTTGCTACAGTCTAGAGCGAATCATTTTTCGTACAAGTATGTTCTCAGTGTTGTGTCCATGTTGAGAAATGTGTAAATTGTTCTTAGGTTTCTTATCAGCTCCCTGTGGACTGATGTTGTAACTAATGTTGTCACAACATTGTGACAATGTTGTAATAATGCTGTGAGAATAGTATGCAGCGAGTCGGTTGTAGTAGGACTGTATGTTGCATGTAGAGTAAAGAATACTAAGCAGCGAGACCAGGGGTAGGTAACTAGATTCATGGTCGGGGTGCAGGGAACATAATTATAATAACTTGTACACTGCAAATTGACCACAACTAAGCCTAAAAAGAGATTGTATTTCAAAATAACAATCATTTCATAGTTTGATTACATTGACACATGATCACATAAGTCTATTTTTTATTTGTGGGAATACTTAGGAACAGATTTCCTAAATTAAACACATTTTTAGCTGGTGATTTTACAGTCTTTTATTTATTTTTTACTAAAAACTTTGGGGGGGCAAAATAAATAACTTGGGGGCTGGTTATGGCCCGCGAGCTGCCTGTTGCCAACCCCTAAGCTACAATGTTGAGGCCGGGGGACACTGACAGGTCTTCTCACTGGTGACGTTGTCACAACATTGTCACAATATTGTAAGAAACCTTTCTGAGAATAGTAGCAAGTCGGTTGTAGGGCTGTCGTAGAGTGTATACTAAGCAGTTGTTGAGGAGGACACCTACAGGTCTTCTCTGTGGTGGTGACTGCAGGTCCCTCTGTGTCCTGGAGTTGGGCGTACACACTGATCTTGTACTGCGTGTTAGCTGTCAGGTCATTGAAGCAGTGCCGGGTGGCTCCTCCTCCCAGCCTTGCCTCCTGCTTATATCCATCTAAAATGAAGACAGAATCACCATCACATATATAGTTTACCACTGGTTACCATCACAATCAATGCTGCTGTCATCAGCAGGAGCATGTTCACCATAGAAATGTATGTAATGAATTCCAATACTAAGATGTCCACATTCTATTGTACAACCTCTCTTCCAGGGTTTGGGTCTATTTCTTTAAGGGATACGTTGGGATTTTGGCAATGAGGCCCTTTATCTACTTCCCCAGAGACAGATGAACTCGTGGATACAATTTGTATGTCTCTGTCTCCAGTATGAAGGAAGTTAGAGGTAGTTTCGCGAGCCAATGCTAACTAGCGTTAACGAAAATGCCTGGCAGTCTATGGGGAAGCGAAGCAAGCTAATAGATACCCATAGATTTCCAGTCAAACTACCTCTAACTTCCCTCATACTGGACACAGAGACATACTAATTGTGTCCACTAGTTCAGCTGTCTCTAGGGAAGTAGATAAAGGGCCTCATTGCCAAAATCCCGAAGTATCCCTTTAAGCATCAAGTGAATATCAATATCTGAGCAAGTGACACAAGTCAAGCATCTTCTGAATTGGAGGACTAGTATTATGGCAGCCATAATGACAGATGATACCAGGGTACAGTTGACATATTTTGTAATCACTGACAATGCAGCTGCCTAATACATAGAATTTGGAGGTGGGGAGATTCTGACAAAGTAACAGCCTCATTTCAAACACATCCTATAGTCATTTCCAATGACTACTGTGTCTACCACTGTATTAAGACATCAAAAAGGACAAAGCTGAATATGCACACAGTATTAGCACTTATTGAACATACTAAAGCTGTGTCTTAAACATGTATCAAGACCTGTGCCTCTTACACAAACTGTGGTGCTTATTCAAATATCTGGCAACCCATTTTCCCACATACACCGATGTGGTATTTTCTTTGGGTAATTATATATTTATCTAGACATCATAAATCCTAATTTGGGCCTAATGCCGGCTGATAGATCTAATATTTCAGGAGCTCCCAAAGGTAATGCTGCGAAATTGCATATAATGAAGTTTGGGTCTTAGTGTTAAACTTGATGAATTTCTCACATTATTTTCCTATTTGGCAGATGATACTCATATTGGGATCGACACAGCATTAATATGATATTGATATTTTAAATGTTCTATAACTGAAATATTCCATGCCATCTGTTGCATAAATCCCGCTATATGCTAACTGTATATTAGGAGAAATTGTTAATTGAATGTCATTAATTGGCTAGAATTAGATTAATGCCAGGTTATCTCATTAATTCCGGACTTATTTCGTATAATCATATGGAATGGCATACAATATGGTCTCAGTGCAACTTTAGACCACTTTGAGGGCATTAAAACTTCTCATAAACTTTAAATATCTATTTAGGACTACGCACTGACTGAGTAGCAAACTCTCACTTTGACATCAGGTTTAATTTAACTTCCAGACACCCACCCACACTGACAGTTGGTTGGAAGTCTCACGTCTGTGAAGTAATAATTATGACTTAGAAGGTAAAAGGCGCCTAGAATATTTTCCTAAATATAATTGTTTGCCTAATAATGTGCTGCTTTGATGCAAATTCAGTATCTTGTTAACTACAAGCTGGAACAGAAGTGTCTGGAACTCAATGTCAGAGCACGTTGAACAAGAAACCCAATTGTTTTTCTTTCTCATCCTAACTTTTTCAAAAAGATGCAATGAGGTGCAATTACGGTCATCCGCATAACAAGTATATCTTGTCCCAACTCACACTTGGCTAGCCATCGTTGACTTTTTGAACTATAGGATATGTAAATGTCAATTCAGCTTGCCTTTTAAAAAGCCTTGTAGGCCTATTTTATATGATTCTAAACCAAAACTCTAACCCCAAATACTAACCCCCTGTACCAAACCTGTACAGTCTGTCCTACTGATGTTTTATCTTATGCTTTATCCTGTATATAATATAGCATCATATCACATGGTATATCGTAGCATTTGAATATTGTTACAAATGACTATCCTCCAGTTCCTTATTCAGTTCTGTTGGGGACGTGTGAAATCCCTGTCAGGATTACAAGTGAATCCTCCTCCCTGCAGGCTTCCGTGTCCCGACCGAGATTCCCTGCCAGGAGCATAATTTCTGACCGGGTTCACGTGGATTTTAGGGGGGAGCTGACAGCCTTATCCACATGGAGACGTGTGGCCGCATGGAAATCACCTCCTTCCACTAGAGTGGCTCTGTGTCAGTGTGTGGGAATACCAATGTGGATTTGGTTGCATATAATGTACTGTACAGTGTAAGTCTGCACACAGCTGTAAAGACATACTGTCAAGGAGAGGGTTTGGATATTGTGCTGCCATGACAAATTACTTGCTTTTAGTAAGCTCAATACTTTAAAAAAACTGTTGTTGGTTCAAAAGGCACAGGGCAAGTTGATAAGAGTGTATGTTTGTGTGGTGCTGGGTACTCACTGAGCAGTGACTCAATGACCACACGGTACAGAGTGGCGTGGTGGTGGGCAACCCACTGGGCACACATGCTGGTCATCTTCACCTGGTAGGTGTTCAGATTGGTCACTCCCAGGTACACTGTGACAGAGAGAGACAGGCACATTATTACTGTAATAGATCCACCACATCACACTGGAAACCATATCACTCCTCTGAAGGAGATACATAGTGTGAGCATGGATGCCAGATCTGCTTCTGCTTGAGCCAACTCCTTTGTTGTTGTCCTGCATGTGGCAGATCCACCATAGGCCTAAGACTAAAAAGCATGTCTATGGATCAGTATTCAGTAGATTGTAATGCTATACTGCAATATAGTGGATTGTAATCTTGTCATCATGACTTTAACCAAAGTAGTGACGGTAAAAACACCAGTGGTAAAATGAAATAGCACGAGCCCTGCATATCCTTAACGATAATGAGCAGACAGGCAGTACATCTATCGCCACACAGCATATGTCTCCATTTGGGTTGGACTCTAAACATATGGACTCTTCCCTAACCCATGCATTCATTTTTCATGCCGCAAAAGTTATTTGGGGAGTTGAAATATGGTGCCGTATCTTACTCCTAACGATCAACAGTACAAATCCATTTATGTACAGTGCATTCGGAAAGTATTCAGACCCCTTGACTTTTTCCATTTTTTGTTACGTTACAGCCTTATTCTAAAATGATTTATATTGTTTTTTCCCCTCATCAATATACACACAATACCCCATAATGACAAAGCAAAAAGAGGTTTTAAGAATTTTCTGCAAATGTATAAAACATAAAAAAATGGAAATATCACATTTACATAAGTATTCAGACCCTTTACACAGTACTTTGTTGAAGCACCTTTGGCAGCGATTATAGCCTTGAGTCTTCTTGGGTATGACGCTACAAGCTTGGCACACCTGTATTTGGGGAGTTTCTCTCATTCTTCTCTGCAGATCCTCTTAAGCTCTGTCAGGTTGGATGGGGAGCGTCGCTGCACAGCTATTTTCAGGTCTCTCCAGAGATGTTCGATCGGGTTCAAGTCCGGGCTCTGGCTGGGCCACTCAAGGACATTCAGAAACTTGTCCCGAAGCCACTCCTGCATTGTCTTGGCTGTGTGCTTAGGGTCGTTGTCCTGTTGGAAGGTGAACCTTTGCCCCCAGTCTGAGGTCCTGAGCACTCTGGAGCAGGTTTTCATCAAGGAACTCTCTGTACTTTGCTCCGTTCATCTTTCCCTCGATCCTGACTAGTCTCCCAGTCCCTGCTGCTGAAAAACATACCCACAGCATGATGTTGCCACCACCATGATTCACTGGAGGGATGGTGCCAGGTTTCCTCCAGACGTGACGCTTGGCATTCAGGCCAAAGAGTTCAATCTTGGTTTCATCAGACCAGAGAATCTTGTTCTTTAGGTGCCTTTTGGCAAACTCCAAGCGAGCTGTTATGTCCCTTTTACTGAGGAGTGGCTTCCGTCTGGCCATTCTACCATAAAGGCCTGATTGGTGGAGTGCTGCAGAGATGGTTGTCCTTCTGGAAGGTTCTCCCATCTCCACAGAGGAGCTCTGGAGCTCTGTCAAAGTGACCATCGGGTTCTTGGTCACCTCCCTGACCAAGGCCCTTCTCCCCCAATTTCTCAGTTTGGCCGGGCGGCCAACTCTAGGAAGAGTCTTGGTGGTTCCAAACTTCTTCCATTTAAGAACAATGAAGGCCACTGTGTTCTTGGGGACCTTCAATGCTGGATAATTTTTTTGGTACCCTTCCCCAGATCTGTGCCTCGACACAATCCTGTCTTGAACTTTAAGGACAATTCCTTCGACCTCATGGCTTGGTTTTTGCTCTGACATGCACTGTCAACTGTGAGACCTTATATAGACAGGTGTGTGCCTTTCCAAATCATGTCCAATCAATTGAATTTACCACAGGTGGACTCCAAGTTGTTGAAACATCTCAAGGATGATCAATGGAAACAGCATACACCTGAGCTCAATTTCGAGTCTCATAGCAAGGGTCTGAATAATTATGTAAATAAGGTTTTTGTTTTTTATTTTTAATACATTTGCAAAAATTTCTAACAACCTGTTTTCACTTTGTCATTATGAGGTATTGTGTTTAGATTGATGAGAGTTATAAAAAAAATAATTTTTTGAATAAGGCTCTAACGTAACAAAATGTGGAAAAAGTGAAGGGGTCTGAATACTTTCCGAATGCATTGTAAATGTATGCATGCATTTCTTAATCTCATTCTTGCGCGCTGCTATGGGTTTGAATATTTCAACGGGACATACTGTACATTTGAAGAGTTTCATTCCAAAACGCTTATTATCCATTTTCAGACATTTTGGTAAATTAGGTTTATTTTTTATTTTTTTACATTTAGAAAAAGATTGGTGTGTTTTTTCACTATCTAATCATGGCAGGGGGTTGTTCATTGACAGACATGTATTTGTTTAAAATCTATCACTTGATGGTTTCATTTCAGAGACAAATAATGATGTATTTTTACCCCCTTTTTCTCCCCGATTTTGTGATATCCAATTGGTAGTTACAGTCTTGTCCCATCGCTGCAACTCCCGTATGGACTCGGGAGAGGTGAAGGTCGAGAGGCATGCGTCCTCCAAAACACGACCCTGCCAAGCCGCACTGCTTCTTGACACACTGCTCGCTTAGCCCGAAAGCCAGTACAACACCGAACAACTGGCGACCATGTCAGCGTGCATGTGCCCGGCCTGCCACAGGAGTCGCTAGAGCGCGATGGGACAAGGACATCCCGGTCGGCCAAACCCTCCCCTAACCCCTAACGCTAGGTCAATTGTGCACCACCTCATTGGTCGCCCGGTCACGGCTGGCTGCGACACAGCCCGGGATCAAACCCGGGTCTGTAGTGACACCTCAAGCACTGCGATGCAGTGCCTTAGACCGGTGCGCCACTCGGGAGGCATAACTACATTTTTAACTAAGAAATGTACAAATGATACATTTGTGACATCAACATTTAAATTTTAAACAAATAATAATAATTCAATACAGTAATATGAGATCTGTATGTAAAACATTTACATTTGACATTTTAGTCATTTAGCAGATGCTCTAATCCAGAGCGATTTACAGTAAGTGCATTCATCTTAAGGTAGCTAAGTGAGACAACCACATATCACAGTCAAATATACAGGACACTAACATTCCATCCAGCTAAACAATGGATATATAGCGTTTTGCAAAAATATATATCAAAAGATTAAAATTAAATAATTGTACTACACATCAAAAATATATGAATAAAAAATCTGAGAACAGTAATATTTTACACACACATGAAAGTACCCATAAGTAATCATTTCTGATGAAAAAACACAAATGTGAAAAATTGGTGGATATAGCGTTTTGGAAATAAACATTTGTTTTGGGGAGTTCGGAGTAAATTATGTCCATGTTTTGTATTGAGAGTCACAAAAACAAATTTACCCACAACTGTTTGGTAAATAATCTCATCTACATATCTTGGAACATGCACATTTCACAACGCATATGAATAAATTAATAATGTTTAAGGTAGACTGCGTTCCATAATACATAACATAAAATATAACCATTCATTAACTTTCACAACACAACTATACTAAAAAATAACTGTAAGACAAGGAGATCTTGAACATGACATTTTCTCTTATTATAGTGCAGTGTTCTTTAACATGCTCACTGTATGTCAGAGTCAGGCATCAAACTCCACCCAAGAGACACCCCTATCCTGATGGCTATATCGCTATCTATGCCCTTCAAAACACGCGCTACCCAAGCATGCTTTGCTTAATTATTATGCACAAGGTGATATCATAGTCATGCAAACGAATGAGAGTCTCTAGTCTCCACTCCCCACTACAATCTGATTATCTGGGAGCTGCCAGCCCTAATAAGACAATGATCTCCGTTACAGTGCTGAGTCGCTGACACTGGTACTACATTAGGCACGCCTGCCTGGCCACTTGATATCATTGTGGCGTCTTCAGTCTCCGATGGAGTGAAGCTGTGCTACTCAATAATTCACACTGACTCAGATAGTTCCAGTTGACCTACAGGAGGCGGCAGGTGACCTAGAGGTTAGGAGCTTTGGGCCAGTAACTGAAAGGTTGCTTCGAATCCCTGAGCCAACTAGGTGAAACATTTGTTGACGTGCCCTTGAGTAAGGCACTGAACCCTAATCGCTCTGGATAAATGATGTAAATGTAGAGAGGGATCTAACTCAACCTTACATTGGCATGGAAACAAAAGAGGTATAACATCTAAAAATGTCTATATTTTATGTAAAGTGTCTTGTTTCTGATGAGCGATCAATGTGACCAAAAATCTTGTAGTAAGTATTAAACTGTTTAGTATAAAAGTTTGTTATGTGCCTGTAGGCACGAAGAGGATAAGTAAGTAATTATGCAGTTACAGTATACACAGTGTCCATTCTGGAGTCCTGTTCTACCTGGAGGCACTGTGTTGAATAAGTTAAATAAGTTGAATAATCAATTAATTAACTGTTTATTATGCAAAGTATCCATTCTCGAGTCCCATTCTACCTGGGGCTGCTGATAATCTACTCACATGTCCTGGCCTTGCCGGTGAGGGCCTCGCTGGAGCCGGTAGTGTAGGAGGCGATAACCCTGACGCCGTACTCAGTACCGCTCATCAGGTTCAGGATCAGCATGGTGTTCACGTCCTCGCCCACAAAGGTCTCCAGAGCAGGTCCTGGAGATGTGGAGAAGAGAGGGGTGTGTGTATGTGTGTGTGTGTGTGAGAGAGCGCTCACATTCACCACCACACATACTACAGCACAGTGCTTACAGAACTCGTAGGCTACTCTCGCCTAAGGAGCATTTAAGACCTTATTGATTTTTTTTGCAGCTGTCCGTGATTGCTCGAATTTCATGAATACTGCATTGTATTAAGGGTGAAGTGGAGTTGAGTGTAGTGGGTTGTCAGTCAGAAAACAGCTTTAGACATCATTGTGTGGAAAGTTTTGTGTCAATGCGGTTTTGCTCTCTACCGGAGGGCCCAGTGGGCATCCTATCAATAGGACAGTAGGCATTTCTCTGTTAATAAGCATTTAGTGCTTAGAAGGTGATGAACTGACCAGATCACATGTGAGTGGGATCACAAGTGTAGGAGGTGGACCAGAAGATTATCCTTTGTAGTTAACACAATATATTGAATGAGGATTCATGCACTTTTCCACCGTGTGTAGTAGTAGTAGTAGTAGTAGTAGTACATTTTACATTTTAGTCATTTAGCAGACGCTCTTATCCAGAGCGACTTACAGTTAGTGAGTGCATACATTTTTTCATACTGGGCCCCCGTCGGAATCGAACCCACAACCCTGGCGTTGCAAACACCATGCTCTACCAACTGAGCTACACGGGGCCCTAGTAGTAGTAGTAGTAGTAGTAGTAGTAGTAGTAATAATAGTAGTAGCAGCAGCAGTCGTAGTAGCAGTAGTAGCAGTAGAAGTAGTAGCAGTAGTAGTACTGGTAGTAGTACATTTACATTTTAGTCATTTAGCAGACGCTCTTATCCAGAGCGACTTACAGTTAGTGAGTGCATACATTTAAAAATTTTTTATACTGGAATCGAACCCACAACCCTGGCGCTGCAAATGCCATGCTCTACCAACTGAGCTACATCCCTGTAGTAGTAGTAGCAGTAGTAGCAGTAGTAGTAGTAGCAGTAGTAGCAGTAGTAGTCGTCGTCGTCGTCGTCGTAGTAGTAGCAGTAGTAGCACTAGTAGTAGTAAGAATAAGAGTAATAGTAGCAATAGTACTAGTAGTAGTAATAGAAGTAGTAGTAAAAAAAATATATATATATATGAAAAGTTACGCACTCACTAACTGTAAGTCACTCTGGATATGAGCGTCTGCTAAATGACTAAAATGTAAATGTAGTAATAGTAACAGTAGTAGTAGTAGTAGTAGTAGTAGTAGTAGTCGTAGTAGTAAAGCATCAGGTGGAAGAGATCAAATCAAATCACATTTTATTTGTCACATGCGACGAATACAACAGGTGTAGACCTTACAGTGAAATGCTTACTTACAAGCCCTTAACCAAGAATGCAGTTTTAAGAAAAAGAATACAAAAAAAAATTGAAGATTAATAATAATAAAAAAAGAATAATACAACAAATAAAGAAATAAAAATAATACAAAATATAAAACAAAAAGTATAAATAAAAAGATAAAACATTCAAAAAGAAAGAAAAAAGAGGGTACCGGTACTGAGTCAATGTGCGGGGGCACCGGTTAGTCGAGGTAATTGAGGTAATATGGGGCAATGCAAATAGTCTGGGTAGCCATTTTATTAGATGTTCAGGAGTATTATGGCTTTGGGATAGAAGCTGTTTAGAAGCCTCTTGGACCTAAATTTGGCGCTCCGGTACCGCTTGCCGTGCGGTAGCAGAGAGAACAGTCTATGACTAGGGTGGCTGGAGTCTTTGACAATTTTTAGGGCCTTCCTCTGACACCGCCTGGTATACAGTGAGGGAATTAAGTATTTGATCCCCTGCTGATTTTGTACGTTTGCCCACTGACAAAGACATGATCAGTCTATAATTTTAATGGTAGGTTTATTTGAACAGTGAGAGACAGAATAACAACAAAAAAATCCAGAAAAACGCATGTAACATTTTTTATAAATTGATTTGTATTTTAATGAGGGAAATACGTTTTTGACCCCTCTGCAAAACATGACTTAGTACTTGGTGGCAAAACCCTTGTTGGCAATCACAGAGGTCAGACGTTTCTTGTAGTTGGCCACCAGGTTTGCACACATCTCAGGAGGGATTTTGTCCCACTCCTCTTTGCAGATCTTCTCCAAGTCATTAAGGTTTCGAGGCTGACGTTTGGCAACTCGAACCTTCAGCTCCCTCCACAGATGTTCTATGGGATTAAGGTCTGGAGACTGGCTAGGCCACTCCAGGACCTTAATGTGCTTATTTTTGAGTCACTCCTTGTTGCCTTGGCCGTGTGTTTTGGGTCATTGTCATGCTGGAATACCCATCCACGACCCATTTTCAATGACCTGGCTGAGGGATGGAGGTTCTCACCCAAGATTTGACGGTACATGGCCCCGTCCATCGTCCCTTTGATGCGGTGAAGTTGTCCTGTCCCCTTAGCAGAAAAACACCCCCAAAGCATAATGTTTCCACCTCCATGTTTGACGGTGGGGATGGTGTTCTTGGGGTCATAGGCAGCATTCCTCCTCCTCCAAACACGGCGAGTTGAGTTGATGCCAAAGAGCTCCATTTTGGTCTCATCTGACCACAACACTTTCACCCAGTTCTCCTCTGAATCATTCAGATGTTCATTCGCAAACTTCAGACGGGCCTGTATATGTGCTTTCTTGAGCAGGGGGACCTTGCTCGTCCTTCACAGCGTAGTGTGTTACCAATTGTTTTCTTGGTGACTATGGTCCCAGTTGCCTTGAGATCATTGACAAGATCCTCCCGTGTAGTTCAGGGCTGATTCCTCACCGTTCTCATGATCATTGCAACTCCACGAGGTGAGATCTTGCATGGAGCCCCAGGCCGAGGGAGATTGACAGTTATTTTGTGTTTCTTCCATTTGTGAATAATCGCACCAACTGTTGTCACCTTCTCACCAAGCTGCTTGGCGATGGTCTTGTAGCCCATTCCAGCCTTGTGTAGGTCTGCAATCTTGTCCCTGACATCCTTGGAGAGCTCTTTGGTCTTGGCCATGGTGGAGAGTTTGGAATCTGATTGATTGATTGCTTCTGTGGACAGGTGTCTTTTATACAGGTAACAAGCTGAGATTAGGAGCACTCCCTTTAAGAGTGTGCTCCTAATCTCAGCTCGTTACCTGTATAAAAGACACCTGGGAGCCAGAAATCTTTCTGATTGAGAGGGGGTCAAATACTTATTTCCCTCATTAAAATGCAAATCAATTTATAACATTTTTGACATGCGTTTTTCTGGATTTTTTTGTTGTTATTCTGTCTCTCACTGTTCAAATAAACCTACCATTAAAATTATAGACTGATAATTTCTTTGTCAGTGGGCAAACATACAAAATTAGCAGGGGATCAAATACTTTTTTCCCACACTGTAGAGGTCCTGGATGGCAGGAAGCTTGGCCCCAGTGATGTACTGGGCCATACACACTCCCCTCTGTAGATGGGCTGTATGACAGATATTTTTAATAAGCAGTATTGATGTGTGTTGTAGGGTTTATGTGGGTAAGACGGGATTTACATTTACATTTACATTTTTACATTTAAGTCATTTAGCAGACGCTCTTATCCAGAGCGACTTACAGTTAGTTAGTTTTTTTTTTATTTATTTTTTATTTTTTTATACTGGCCCCCCGTGGGAATCAAACCCACAACCCTGGCGTTGCAAACACCATGCTCTATCAACTGAGCTACATCCCTGCCGGCCATTCCCTCCCCTACCCTGGACGACGCTGGGCCAATTGTGCGCCGCCCATGAGTCTCCCGGTCGCGGCCGGCTGCGACAGAGCCTGGATTCGAACCAGGATCTCTGGTGGCACAGTTAACACTGCGATGCAGTGCCTTAGACCACTGCGCCACTCGGGAGACATATCTTTAGAAATATCTGGGATATCTTAGAAATAAGCAGTACTGTGTGTGTGTTTGTGTGCTTTTGTGTGTGTGTGTGAGTGTGGGCATGAATGCATGAGTATATACCAGAGATGGGTTTGTAGACTACCCTGTAGCCCATAGTGGGGGATGGGGGCGTGTCCCAGGTGATACGGAAGCGGTTGTACCATTCCTCTGACACTCTCAGGTTCCTAGGAGCAGACAGTGGCACTGCAGGAAGAATGAAAGAGCAAGGGAAAGAGAGAATGAAAGAAGAGAAGATAGAGGGGAAATAAGTATGGAGACATGAGACAGATAGACATAATGACAGTTAGAGGGAAAGAGAAAGAGAGAAGGACAGACAGACAGACAGAAAGTTAGAGGGAGAGAGAGAGAGAGAGAGAGAGAGATAGAGTGAGTGAGCGGTGGACAGAGTGAGAGAACATAACTCACTCAGAAATAAGGTACATTTTCATCAAGTACAGTAATCAATTGTAGATGAGATACTCTGCATACAGTGGCTTGCGAAAGTATTCACCCCCCTTGGCATTTTTCCTATTTTGTTGCCTTACAACCTGGAATTAAAATGGATTTTTTGGGGGTTTGTATCATTTGATTTACACAACATGCCTACCACTTTGAAGATGCAAAATAGTTTTTCTTGTGAAACAATCAAGAAATAAGACAAGAAAACAGAAAACTGTTCACCCCCCCCCCCAAAGTCAATACTTTGTAGAGCCACCTTTTGCAGAAATTACAGATGCAAGTCTCTTGGGGTATGTCTCTATAAGCTTGGCACATCTAGCCACTGGGATTTTTGCCCATTCATCAAGGCAAAACTGCTCCAGCTCCTTCAAGTTGGATGGGTTCCGCTGGTGTACAGCAATCTTTAAGTCATACCACAGATTCTCAATTGGATTGAGGTCTGGGCTTTGACTAGGCCATTCCAAGACATTTAAATGTTTCCCCTTAAACCACTCGAGTATTGCTTTAGCAGTATGCTGGAAGGTGAACCTCCGTCCCAGTCTCAAATCTCTGGAAGACTGAAACAGGTTTCCCTCAAGAATTTCCCTGTATTTAGCGCCATCCATCATTCAATTCTGACCAGCTTCCCAGTCCCTGCTGATGAAAAACATCCCCACAGTGAAGCATGGTGGTGGCAGCATTATGCTGTGGGGATGTTTTTCATTCATCAGGATGGTGTTCTCGGGGTGTTGAGAGGTGTTGGGTTTGCGCCAGACATAGCGTTTTCCTTGATGGCCAAAATGCTCAATTTTAGTCTCATCTGACCAGAGTACCTTCTTCCATATGTTTGGGGAGTCTCCCACATGCCTTTTGGCTAACACCAAATGTGTTTGCTTATTTTTTTCTTTAAGCAATGTCTTTTTTCTGGCCACTCTTCCGTAAAGCCCAGCTCTGTGGACAGATACTCCGATCTCCGCGGTGGAGCTTTGCAGCTCCTTCAGGGTTATCTTTGGTCTCTTTGTTGCTTCGCTGATTAATGCCCTCCTTGCCTGGTCTGTGAGTTTTGGTGGGCGGCCCTCTCTTGGCATGTTTGTTGTGGTGCCATATTCTTTAAAATGTTTAAATAATGGATTTAATGGTGCTCCGTGGGATGTTCAATGTTTTGGATATTTTTTTATAACCCAACCCTGATCTGTACTTCTCCACAACTTTGTCTCTGACCTGTTTGGAGAGCTCCTTGGTCTTCATGGTGCCGCTTGCTTGGTGGTGCCCCTTGCTTAGTGGTGTTGCAGACTCTGGGGCCTTTCAGAACAGGTGTATATATACTGAGATCATGTGACAGATCATGTGACACTTAGATTGCACTCAGGTGGACTTTATTTAACTAATTATGTGACTTCTGAAGGTAATTGGTTTCACCAGATCTTATTTAGGGGCTTCATAGCAAAGGGGGTGAATACATATGCATGCACCACTTTTCCGTTATTTATTTTTTAGATTTTTTTTTAACAAGTTATTTGTTTCATTTCACTTCACCAATTTGGACTATTTTGTGTGTGTCCATTACATGAAATCCAAATAAAAATCCATTTAAATTACAGGTTGTAATGCAACAAAATAGGAAAAACACCAAGGAGGATGATTACTTTTGCAAGGCACTGTACATATGAGTCTCTAAGTCTCCTGTCCTAAAAAGAGAAGCACATTGGGTTCTTAAATTAAACACGATACATGTCTGATGGGCTTTTAGTTGACTAACTGTGAGTCACAGACTCACAGCGTTGGACTGAATTACAACTGTATTCAGTAGTGTTAGCGTTACTTCTCCAGACCTGTTCCATTCAATACAAATCATTCACACACACACACACACACACATCCAATGTGACGTGTTGTTTGAGGGATTGCCTCATTTTTCATTCTTAAAGGGGGCAATACATTTCAAAGTGGTGTCCAGGGACTGTCGTTTTCAGAGCAGGGAAAATAATCAGCAACTACTCATGTAAGCATTTGAGGAAGATGAAGAATGCAAATGTGAATTCCATTAAAAAATGTCTGGTAATGATGTGGGTCCTTTCAGCTCTGACAAACACCAGGGGCGGGATTACCATCTCCTGTCAATCAATAGCTGATTTAAGCCAATGAGAGCTCTATAATGTAGAGGTAAAGAGCTTCCATTGGATTATTCAGTATGTGTCAATGATATACAGAGTATGGATATCTCACCTACGGTGAGGGTTCATGGACTAACTAACTAACTCATTCATTCCCAATGGGCAACAGTGGTTGAAATGACGTCATTACAACCATTCAACAAGGTTTGCCCAGTTTTACCTGGGTTTATCAAGAGTGAGTGAGTACTTCATTATACACTGAGTATACCAAACATTAGGAACACGTTCCTAATATTGAGTTGCAACCTCCCCCCCGAAAGCATTCTACAGGGATGCTGGCCCATGTTGACTCCAATGCGTCCCACAGTTGTGTCAAGTTGGCTTGACGTCCTTTGGGTGGTGGACCATTCTTGATACACACGGGAAACTGTTGAGCGTGAAGAACCCATCAGCATTGCAGTTCTTGACACACTCAAACTGGTGCGCCTGGCTCCAAACCAGACAGGTAAATTCAGGGCATCTAAGACAACCCAAGCCAAGGAATAATCGCCTTAAATCTACAGTTTTATATAGAGCCATAGCTGAATGGAACTCTTTACCAATCCATATTTGTCATGCAAAAAGTACATCCACCTTCAAGAAAAAAATAAAAGAACATCTAATGCGATAGACCATATGACAGGAAATAGAAAGCATCAACTGAATGTTAAATGTGTTACCTGTCAGGTATTTTAATTGTCTGTACTGTCTAGTTGTTAAACGTTTGTAAAGTCTTAATTTGTAATTGTTTGTAATGTCTTATTAATTGGTGTTGGACCCCAGGAAGATTAGCTAATGGGGATCCTAATAAAAATGCACAAATTCACCTACTACCATACCCCGTTCAAAGGCACTTACATTTTCTGTCTTGCACATTCACCCTCTGAATGGCACACATACACAATCCATGTCTCAATTGTCTCAAGGCTTAAAAATCTGTCTTTAACCTGTCCCCATTGCTCAAGAAAGCACATATACAGGGCCGTCTGAAGTTTGCCAATGAACATCTGAATGATTCAGAGGAGAACTGGGTGAAAGTGTTGTGGTCAGATGAGACCAAAATCGAGCTCTTTGGCATCAACTCAACTCGCTGATCATGTCTTTGTCAGTGGGCAAACTTACAAAATCAGCTGGGGATCAAATACTTTTTTCCCTCACTGTATGTCATGGAAAGAGCAGGTGTTCTTAATGTTTTGTACACTCAGGGTATATATTTTAAGTTCATATTCCACCTGAAAGAAGAATACAGAAGCACAGAGGCTTCCATTGTCCCGAACAGAACAGGACATATATCTCAGTGTCCGCGTCACCATGGAGAGAAGGTCATGCAGACAGACTTACAGGTGCGTCCCATGCGGCTGACACCGGGGCCGTCTTCGTCGGCGTAGACTGGGGTGACGGTCACCTTGTACTCCGTGTCAGACAGCAGTGGCTGCAGCAGGAGGCTGTTCTTACCACCGGGGACCATTTTCTAGAACACACACACACAGCTGCCAATCACGATATCAGAACGACAAGGTTCTGGTATTGTCTGGAGTGGAGGTTGGTGAATGGACATGCTGGGTTGATGTGACTGGTGATTAAATGTACTGGAGTTGTATCAGAGGAACAGATTCAGCTAGTAGGTAGCCTTGCACCAGACCTGTCTGTGCTGTCATGACAACTCCTTTGGTCATTGTCATGCCAAACAATGACCATATGAGTTGACAAGACGGCATATTTTTTTTTGGGGGGGGGGGGGGGGGGGGGGGGGATCAGTGAATGACAAAGAAGAATACCTCCCAAAAATAGCTAAGAACATGTCAGGTCTGCACTTGAGCAGAAAACTAGATTTGAATCATATTGGCTCTGGTTGAGTGTGAATCTCTGTATGTCATAACAAACATTAATTAAATAATGATTAATTAATATCCACATCTAAAAGCTGACACGAATACACAGTGGCTTGCAAAAGTATTCACCCCCCTTGGCATTTTTCATATTTTGTTGCCTTACAACCTGGAATTAAAATGGATTTTTTGGGGGTTTGTATCATTTGATTTACACAACATGCCTACCACTCTGAAGATGCAAAATAGTTTTTCTTGTAAAACAAACAAGAAATAAGACAAAAAAACAGAAAACTTGAGCGTGCATAACTATTCATCCCCCCCAAAGTCAATACTTTGTAGAGCCACCTTTTGCAGAAATTACAGCTGCAAATCTCTTGGGGTATGTCTCTATAAGCTTGGCACATCTAGCCACTGGGATTTTTGCCCATTCATCAAGGCAAAACTGCTCCAGCTCCTTCAAGTTGGATGGGTTCCGCTGGTGTACAGCAATCTTTAAGTCATACCACAGATTCTCAATTGGATTGAGGTCTGGGCTTTGACTAGGCCATTCCAAGACATTTAAATGTTTCCCCTCGAGTGTTGCTTTAGCAGTATGCTTAGGGTCATTGTCCTGCTGGAAGGTGAACCTCCGTCCCAGTCTCAAATCTCTGGAAGACTGAAACAGGTTTCCCTCAAGAATGTCCTTGTATTTAGCGCCATCCATCATTCCTTCAATTCTGACCAGTTTCCCAGTCCCTGCCGATGAAAAACATCCCCACAGCATGATGCTGCCATGGTGTTCTCGGGGTGTTGAGAGGTGTTGGGTTTGCGCCAGACATAGCGTTTTCCTTGATGGCCAAAAAGTTCAATTTTAGTCTCATCTGACCAGAGTACCTTCTTCCATATGTTTGGAAATCTCCCACATGCCTTTTGGCGAACACCAAATGTGTTTGCATATTTTTTTCTTTAAGCAATGTCTTTTTTCTGGCCTCTCTTCCGTAAAGCCCAGCTCTGTGGAGTGTACGGCTTAAAGTGGTCCTATGGACAGATACTCCAATCTCTGCTGTGGAGCTTTGCAGCTCCTTCAGGGTTATCTTTGGTCTCTTTGTTGCTTCTCTGATTAATGCCCTCCTTGCCTGGTCCGTGAGTTTTGGTGGGCGGCCCTCTCTTGGCATGTTTGTTGTGGTGCCATATTCTTTCCATTTTTTTATAATTGGATTTAATGGTGCTCCATGGGATGTTCAATGTTTCAGATATTTTTTTATAACCCAACCCTGATCTGTACTTCTCCACAACTTTGTCCCTGACCTGTTTGGAGAGCTCCTTGGTCTTCATGGTGCCGCTTGCTTGGTGGTGTCCCTTGCTTAGTGGTGTTGCAGACTCTGGGGCCTTTCAGAACAGGTGTTTATATAATGAGATCATGTGACAGATCATGTGACACTTAGATTGCACACAGGTGGACTTTATTTAACTAATTATGTGACTTCTGAAGGTAATTGGTTGCACCAGATCTTATTTAAGGGCTTCATAGCAAAGGGGGTGAATACATATGCACGCACAACTTTCCGTTATTTATTTTTTAGAATGTTTTGAAACAATTTTTTTCATTTCACTTCACCAATTTGGACTATTTTGTGTATGTCCATTACATGAAATCCAAATAAAAATCAATTTAAATTACAGGTTGTAATGCAACAAAATAGGAAAAACGCCAAGGGGGATGATTACTTTTGCAAGGCTCTGTAGTTTTAAACAGCAATTCATTGCAAAGTCAAACAGCAAACACTCATAGAAATCTACATGAAGCGAGTGAGCATTAAGCAAATCATGCTAAGTTTGCTTTGCTACAAAAGTAAACAAGTATGTTTTTTTTTGTCTTTTGCCCCCAATTTTTGTACATATTTAATTATTAATAGACATTGAAGTTGAAATGAAGGTGTAGACTACCTAGATATTGATATCAGTCAATTTAATTGGAAAAACAGTTAAACAAGATACTTTTAAACTTTCAGGAGTTAGGCTATAGAAGTTAATTGAGTAATGTATGGCGCAACGCATAACTCGACATGTGAACACTGTGACTTCGTAATGTAGGCTGTCTAATTTCAGAATCACCTAGAATGTCTGTCACTTCTGGACTGCAGCCACTCCTCCTCCTCTTCCCTCTCTCTCTCTCCACCACAGTCATCCTCTTTTTCTCTCTGTCTCTGTTTCTCTCTCATCCACTCTCCATTCCTCCTGTCATTCCTGTTTGCATTCCGAGCGTGTGCGGTCTAGCCTCGCCTCTGTCCAAAAAAGTTCCACATCCATGACAAGCGGCGAACTTGACAAATCAATTTCAGGCCAACGTGATGAAAATAGCAGCTAGCTTTTTCGAAGTGGGGGACCGCAGGACGGAGTGCGACCCGAGTAGCCGAGTCCCAATGCCACCGCTGTTGCCAAATTAGATTTTATTTATAACGCGGGTGCTCCCTCAAACTATTTATAATTTGGCCGGTTCAATCTAGTTGGGAATGAAGTATCTGTGAAGAATGCAAACTCAATCCCCTTGATTTTGCTACAGAGTAGGGCTGTGGGGTTCCACTCTACTGCTCCTATTGCTGGGCTGGCCTTCAATGAACTGTGTTTGGATGGGAGCTGTTCAGGCTGTGGTGCTGAAAGTTGCCCGTGATTTGAGAAACTAAATGTAAGGCTTCAGTGACTTTTCCTGGTTTTCCTGTACTAAAGCAGTGGACTAGGAATGAATTGGTGTTTTGTAATTGAAATTATATTTGAAGACATGATTGCATTGTATTGTTTTCTACTGTTATCTTTCAATGAGGCTGTAACATTGGTTATATAGGTTTATACAAGAGATAAGTATTACTTATCGACTACATTCCCACCTGATCAGTTTCCAAATACAAAGCGGACTACAACATTCTGATATCAATAGATAAGGAATCTGACTAAACACTATATCACTATGCATCTGGCATAAACGCTTAAAGACTACCATACAACCCCAATTTCTCCCATACATACATATCTAATCATTGGAAGGACACCAAGAGCAGTGCATTCTCAAGAGACACTGGCTGAATGACTGGCGTCGATACAACACTAATCCATTCAGAAAATGTAAGCTTATCGCTAAGGAAAAGCAAGACGTAAGAGCGAGGAGCTGGTTTTATTGTAGTGGGGGGGGGGGGGGGGGGGGGGGGGGATAGAGAAAGAGAGAACAGATAGAGAGAGATGGCAGTGCAATGGGTTTAGGTGATAGGGGGGCTGTTGGGTAGTCATACTCTTATCTTAAATATTAATTAGCATTGTAAAGAGCTAGGCTGTGGAGATATCGGGAATCATACTAATAGCGAAGAAAGGAAGTCTCCTCGGTCTGCATCTTACCGTCTCCTCGGCACGATCGCCCCTGGCGGTGACATAGGCGACGCGGTACTGACGCACATTGCTGTCCTGCAGCTCCCAGGATACCCCCATGCTGAAGGTGGTGTGACCGCTGAGCAGGAGGTTCCTCACACCCAGACGCACAACTGGGTGAAGGAGGGTTGGAGGAAGGTAGAAAAAGAGGGTAGTGAGAGAGAGTAAGGGTGGGGTTGAGAAAGGGAGGTGGAAAATGGAGAGAGGATAGAGACACCAGGTGGCTTTACTATGCAGACCGTGTGGGTGCATGCATACATTTGAATAAACACAATATCATTAGACTAATGATGCAACAGTGCAGAAAGAGACGGCAAACAAAAACACAGAGATCCTGGTGAGATCATAGCTACATATTATTGATGATGGATGAAGTGAGTTGCAATTTTAAACAAAGTGAAAAGCACTATTTAAACACAATCTATTATCATTACCATCACTATTATAATCAACAGGACAAGTTGGGGAAATTACTATTAAAAGCGCTCACAAAATTCACTTTATAAAAATCTATACAGTACATGACCGAAAAAAATCTAATTTACCTGCTGTGGTGGTAGCTTTTGTGGTAATTGTGGTAGTAGTAGCTTTTGTGGTAGTCGTTGTTCTTGTCACTGAAAAACAGACAAAATGGTCAGATCAATCAATCAGTTAAGCAAATGTGTATATTGAGCCTTCAAAAGAAGAATAAGAGGGGATATAGTTTAGACTGTTTAATGACAATGTTTCAGCACAAAGGTCTTTCTCAAGACCAGTCTCAATGAACAATGCACTGTAGCAAACATACAAGACATGGGTATCAAAGCTGTGTGGTGGACATGCACGATTCTAACAAATGCATTGAAAGGTACAAGGTGCTTAATCGTAACCTGGCTCAAAGCCCCCAAAGAGCAAGCAGTAGCACAGAGGCAACACCAAATCAATACAATAATCAATACAATCCCCAATGTTCAATTAACCCTGATTGGAGTGGCGTTTCCCTTAATTACCTGTTGACTCTGTGAGGGTCACGGCGTCGCTTTCCACCTCGTTTCTGAAGACAGCGATCAGAGAGACCTCGTACTCAGTGATGGGCTTCAGACCAATCAGCAGGTGGCTGTTCATGTTACCGTTCACTAGCATCTTCACCATAGAGGGAGGGAGGGAGGGAATGTAGAGAGAAGTTAAGTCAATGTCAGATATTTCTGCTGCTACCGAATGCACTTATGGACTGGAATTCTACAGTCACCAAAAGGGCTTCAAAATAGCACTTCAAAAAATAAATACAAATAAATATGCCATTTAGCAGACGCTTTTATCCAAAGCGACTTACAGTTATGTGTGCATACATTTTTACGTATGGGTGGTGTTTTGTTTTTGAACGCATGAATCAAGATGTGAGTCGTGTAAAAAAAAAAAAAAAGGGAAGTACTGCTCGCATCAGGATTTATTGGTACAAAACACATAGAAGGTAAGTAGGCAATCAATTTCTGTATCTAGCATAACTGGCTTTGTGTCAATATTCAGTGAGTGCCTGCAAGATGGTCAATCTTGAACTGCTCAGGGATGTGATAGAAAGTATGGGAGGTGAGTTGTACATCTTCCAATACAGCATACATAACCTGAGAGAAATCACGTAGCTGAAAATCTGCTAGCAGAGACAATTCAATTGCAGTCATATATTCTTTAGCTGATATGAGACACCAGAATGAAACATAATTGCAGTGACAGACGGAAAGAGAACTATGAATCCATTCAACTAACCAACCAACCAGCCAGTCAGCCAGACAAGACAGCCAGACACAGACCTCTTTAGTATCTCCTCCTCTGTTTGGGGTCCATGTGAGTCTGTAAAGGACCACGTCTTGGGCTGAGTGTTCCCAGGTGACCCTGAAGCTCTCTGTGGAGACTTCACTGCTCCTCAGGTTCAGAGGCTCTGGGACTGTCTCTGGATTAGACACAAAGGGTAAAGAAGCCTCAAAAGAATGGAAGGAGTTCCACATCACTTTGGCATCCCCCATATGAGTGGTCATATTCACAGTCAGCACTCACTTTTAGATACACTTTATCCCATGTAAGATTCTGTTCATGACTTACATCAGTGTTTCATCTTCAAATGCAGCTAGATAATTTGGTAGCACTTTCCATAGAAATAGAATGCCCATCCATCACGGAACGTTGAATTAAATGGGAACATCCGTTCTAGTAATTCTATTTCTATGGCACTTTCTACAAGCCACAGCATTTATAGCCTTTTTGTATTATAAAGGCTGTTGTTGAAAGCCAAGAGCTGTCAATAGCATTGCTTATACGGGTAGAGACAGTCTTACTAGTGGTGAAGCTGTCAGTCAGTGGCTCTGCCTGGCCCTCGTCATAAATAGCAAAGATGGCCACCGTGTACTCCGTCAATGACGTCAGGTTCCTTAGCAACAGGGTGGTGATGCGGCCAACGTCTATCTATGGCCACCGAAGAGAGAGGTCAGGGTTAACGGTCAGTGTGAGTCCCTCTATGTGACAATATAAAATACATATTTGTATTTATTTTATTCATCTCATAAAGGTGGTATCCTTCCAGTGATGCCTACTTTTCTATACATCAGTCAGAATCATATATCAGATTATATATCACATTCTATAAGGTTAATATGTTAGCAAGATGCTATTCTTGCAGAAATACAGAACTGTCTTTGGAAAGTTCTTTCTTTAGGGGGAAAGTCTGCAACATTAACATGAACACAATATATTTATGGGCTTAAAGTCCAGCTACGTGAGCACTCACCTCATTGGTCTGCACTCCATTAGTCTTGACGTACATGATGCGGTAGCCGTTGGCCTTATTGGACGTCGCCTCCCAGGTGAGTCTGGTCGAGCTATGGTCGACGTTGGAGAAGCGCAGGTTCCGCGCCGGGGTCAGGGGTACTGAGAGAAGAGGGGGGCAGAGAACAGGAACATGGCTCACGGGTCAACCCTAATACGGTGCGTGACATGACTCTTTTTGTTTGAGAGTTCCTCTCCAAGGAACAAAAGGGCAGAATAATGGCCTTTTGCGCACAAAACACATTCTCTGGAAAAGTTTTTATTTAACAAGGAGCTTTACTTCAGGTAGGGCTAAAACTCCTGCTTAGAATTACTCCCTGGATTTTCTTGCTGCGGTTCATTCAGCTCATTTTAAATGAGGGTCAGCGTTTAACTTTAGACGCAGGGAGCATGAAAAGGATGCAGTGAAGGTGAACTGGTTTCATGAGGGAATTGGAAATAAAAAAGTTGGAGAGAAGGGTTTTAAAGTTTGGCAAGGATCTTTTCCAATGCAGTTTGCATACAGGAAGAACAGATCAGTGGAGGATGCAGTCCTGGCGGTGTTACACAGTGCCATGACACACTGGGAGAGGGCTCACTCTTATGTGCGCATCCTTTTCCTGGACTTCTACTTTGTTTTTAACTGCATGCAGCCTCACCTTCTCTCCCACCTACAGATGGACCATACCTAGCAGGTACTGGACTGCCTGCTGAACAGGGGGTGTCACGCCCTGGCTCTAGGGACTCTTTTATGTTGAGCCAGGGTGTGTAGAGTCTATGTTTTGTGTTCTATGTTTTAGTTTCTAGTTCATGTGTTTCTATGTTGGCCGGGGTGGTTCTCAATCAGGGGCAACGTGAATCAGCTGTTGCTTGTTGTCTCTGATTGGGAACCATACTTAGGCAGCCGTTTGTGCATTTGGTATTCGTGGGATCTTGTTCCGTGTATGGTTAGTGTCTGTTACCTAGGACTTCACGTATCGTTTTGTTGTTTTGTTTCGTGTGGTGAATCAAATAAAAGTATGTTCACTCATCACGCTGCGCATTGGTCCACTTCCTCCAACGATCGTGACAGAAGATCCCACCAATACTGGACCGAGCGGCGTGTCCAGGAGTACACGCCGGAGGTAACTTTAGCGGATGTCCACCTCGACTGGGTCAAGCAGCGTGAGGAGGAGATAGGTTGGACTTGGGAGCAGAGGATGGAGAGTCTGGCGAGAGCCATGGAGGCCATATCCACGGGGGAGAGACAAGCCCAATAAATTTTTAGGGGGGGCTCACACCGTGGACGACGGGGCTGCTGGAGGCAGATAAGGGGCGAGTTAGTGGACGAGGAGAGAAGGCCACCGGGTTACGGGAGCCATTGGCGAGTAGAGGGAAGGAAAATGTAGAGGCACGGCGAGAGGTACTGAGGTGTGTTGCCAGTCCGGTCCGGCCCGTTCCTGATCCCCGTATAAGGCCAGTGGTGTGTGTTCCCAGTGCGGTCCGGCCTGTTCCTGTCCCTCGCACCAAGCCTGTGATGCACGTCGCCAGCCCGGCCCGGCCTGTTCCTGCCTCTCGCACCAAGCCTATGGTGCGCGTCGCCAGCCCGGCCCGGCCTGTTCCTGCCCCTCGCACCAAGCCTATGGTGCGCGTCGCCAGCCCGGTCCGGCCTGTTCCTGCTCCCCGCACCAAGCCAGTGGTGCGCTTCGTCAGCCCGGTTTGGCCCGTCCCTGCTCCCCGCACCAAGCCAGTGGTGCGCTTCGTCAGCCCGGTCCGGTCCGGCCCGTCCCTGCTCCCCGCACCAAGCCAATGGTGCGCGTCGTCAGCCCGGTCCGGCCCGTCCCTGCTCCCCGCACCAAGCCTGTGGTGCGCGTCGTCAGTCTGGCACAGCCCGTGCCCGTTTCACCGGTGCCTGGTCAGGTACCGGTCAGCTGCTCCACACCGGAGCCTAAGCAAACCGCTCCACTGATGTCCAGTCCAGCTCCAGCCAGCGGGACCAGACCAGGGGCGCTACGGGGGGGTTGTTAGAGGGTGGTGGTCAAGCCCGGAGCCGGAACCGCCTCCGAGGAGGAATGCCCACCCGGCCCCTCCCCTGTTGGGTTATGTTGGCGCGGTCGCAGTCCGCGCCTTTGGGGGGGGGGGGGGGGGGGGGGGGGGGGGGGGGTACTGTCACGCCCTGGCTCTAGGGACTCTTTTATGTTGAGCCAGGGTGTGTAGAGTCTATGTTTTGTGTTCTATGTTTTAGTTTCTAGTTCATGTGTTTCTATGTTGGCCGGGGTGGTTCTCAATTAGAGGCAACGTGAATCAGCTGTTGCTTGTTGTCTCTGATTGGGAACCATATTTAGGCAGCCGTTTGTGCATTTGGTATTCATGGGATCTTGTTCCGTGTATGGTAAGTGTCTGTTACCTAGGACTTCACGTATCGTTTTGTTGTTTTGTTTCGTGTGGTGAATCAAATAAAAGTATGTTCACTCATCACGCTGCGCATTGGTCCACTTCCTCCAACGATCGTGACAGGGGGCAGTATGCCCAGTTCAACAACACAACATCCCTTCCTCTGTGTACATCTACCGGTTCCCCCCAAGGAACTGGCATCTCCCCAGTGTTATTCTCCATATACAACAGGGGTGTCAAACTCATTTTAGCTCAGGGGCCACATGGAGGAAAATCTATTCCCAAGTGGGCCGGACGGGTAAAACCATGGTATATATAACTTAAAAACAACAACTTCAGATTGTTTTCTTTGTTTTAATACGATCAACATAAAACATAAAGCTGGAGCCTGAGGACAGTGTGTCCAAAATAGTACAAGCACAACATCACTATTAATCATAAAACACCTCAAGTTTATTTGAAAATTCTAAAGAAAAATAACACACAAACACACAATGCCTCAGTGATTCACAGAAGTATATCACAGATCACAGAACTATATCAGGGTGTCTCATGCAGCACTTTAAGTGGGGTTGCATAGATTATTTGACTCCTGATACCTGGCATCTTTTAGCTTTCACCAGCGCATCAATATCAGGCGTCACATCCTGAGTGGCAGCCAACTTCAGGATGTGATTCAAGTGCTTGTGCGTGAGCCTTGAGCGCAGCTTTGTTTTATTTATGCTCATTACAGAGAAAACTTGCTCACAAAGATATGTGGTTCTAGACATGCACAACAGTTTTGCAGCGAGGGCTGTCAAGTTGGGGTAACCTGGCAAGAGATTCTGATAAAATGTGTCCAAGCCAGCTGCGGCAAATTTGCCCTTCAAATCCGAGTCACACTGCAAGTCTATTATTTCAAGTTGGATGCTGACGGGCAGATCAGAGGGATTCACGGTGAATGGCGAGCAAAAAACTTTGAAGTCTTTCTCCTGTTCACCAAAAATCTGAAAGCGTTGCTCAAACTCCCGTAACATTCCCGTTATTTTATCTTTGAACCGCTTCATGTCTGCCACATGTTGGGTCGCGCACACATTTTTCAGACAGGGGAAGTGAGCTGCATCACCACCGGCGAGTTGCGTCTCCCACAATGACAGCTTCAACTTGAAAGAACGTATGTTGTCATAATACTGCGTGACAACTTTGTTGCGCCCTTGCAGCTATTTGTTCAAGTTATTCAGGTGCTCTGTAACATCCACCATAAATGCAAGGTCCTGCATCCATTCTGCGGAATGAAATTCTAACACTGGTTTGCCCTTTTCTTCCATGAACTGTTCAATTTCTTCTTGTAAATCAAAGAAACGCCTCAGCACAGCACCTCGACTTAACCATCTTACCTCAGTGTGGTATGGCAGGCCATAGATGTGGCCTTTCTCTCTGAGAAGGTTGTCAAACTGATGGTGATTCAGGCTTCTGGATCGGATGAAATTAACAGTTTGGATGATCACCTTCATGACGTTATCCATCTTTAATGACTTGCAACACAAAGCCTCCTGGTGCAAAATACAGTGAAAAGTCCAAAAATCACATCCTCCATTTGCAGATTGCACTTTCTCTCTGAACTTTGTCACAACGCCTGCTTTTTCCCGATCATTGAGGGCGCACCATCTGTAGCCAGGCTGACAGCGCGGGACCAGTCCACTCTGACACTGTCCAGCGCGCCGACGAGTGCGGTGAAAATATCAGCTGCTGTCGTTGTATCTGTCATCGGCACCAACTCCACGAACTCCTCGGTGATGGTCAATGTGCCATCAACTCCGCGGGTGAAAATGGCCAGTTGTGCAACATCTGTAATGTCCTGCTTTCATCAATTGCAACCGAAAACGCAATAAATGACTTTACTTTTTGCTTCAACTGGCTGTCCAAATCCACTGAAAGATCGGAAATCTTGTCTGCAACTGTGTTTCTTGTCAGGCTGATATTTGCAAAAGCCTTGCGCTTTTCAGGGCACACAATCTCCGCTGCCTTCATCATGCATGTTTTTACAAATTCACCCTCACTAAATGGTTTTGAAGCCACTGCGATTTCATTAGCAATGAGGTAGCTAGCTTTCACTGCAGCGTCACTGATGTCTTGGCTGTGAGTAAACACAGACTGCTGTTTCTTCAGACCCGCCAACAGTTCATTCACCTTCTCTCTTCTCCGCTGTCCTTGAAAGTTGTTATATTTGTCGGCATGAAGACTCACATAGTGGCGACGAAGGTTATATTCTTTCAGCACTGCAACATGCTGTGAACACACCAAACATACAGCTTTCCCATTCAATTCCGTGAATAAATAGGAGGATGACCATTTTTCTTGGAACACTCTGCACTCTGCGTCCACTTTTCTCTTTTTTGACAGAGACATATTGGGGCAATGAGGGTGCCAAAGCACATAATGTTAAAAGTAGAAGCCGTAATAAATATCGCGGGCAAAACAAAGTAGCTCATCCGGACTGGCTGCACTTGCTTGACCTACTTGCTCTGCCCCGGTATAAACAGTTTGCTTGCTTAACACAATTGCTATTGCGCCATCCAGTGGACGCAATTGGAACAGCAGTTTATTTTATTGAAAGATTGCAGCTCATTTTTATACTTTACAAAATCATCTCGCGGGCCGGATTAAACCCGTTTGCGGGCCTGATCCGGCCCGCGGGTCGGACGTTTGACACCCCTGATATACAACAATGACCTGAGAGGCTCAGAAGGGGACTGCTTGGCAGTGAAATATGCAGATGACAGCGCCCTTGTCGACCTCTCAGATGACTGCATTTCCCAACAGAAGTAAACAGGGTCCATGACTGGTGCAATAACAACTTCCTCACACTCAACATCAACAAAACAAAATAACTGCTCATTGATTTCAGGAGGAATGCAGACCCAGTGAGCCACCTAGTCCTGGGTGGTAAACAGGTAGAGAGAGTGGGGAGTTTTAAGTACCTGGCCACTGGGCACAGACGTCATTTCAACGTCTAGTTTTGATGTACATTTGGTTGGGTTGTCAACTGGTGTGAATTCAATGTGAAATCAACAAAAAGCTTCACCATGTCATTGGATTTAGGTTAAAAGTTGTGTGAAAAAAATACGAAATTTCCTTACGTTGAAGACATTTTTCAAATTCAATCAGTTTTCCACATTGATTCAACGTCATCACATTGAATTTTTTGGTTGAAATTACGTGGAAACAACGTTGATTCAAACAGTTTTTTCCCAGTGGGTGAGAACCATCATGAACAGCACACTCTCTTTTAATGCCAACACTCAGAACATCAATAAAAAAATACCAACAATGACCGTACCTCCTGCGCAAACTGCGACAACTGAATGTCAACACCCGGATACTACTCCACCTGTCATATAGAGAGTATGCTGACTTTCTGTTTCCTGGCCTGGTAGTGGGCAGTCAGTGGCTAATAATGGTATCCTCAGCTAGACTGTGAACCTGGGGTCCAAGCTCTGCAGGCTGCAGTGCAGGGGGCTTCAGGGCCTCTATGATAAACGGGCAAGAGACAAGGCCAGGAACATCATAGAGGACCCCACCAACAATCTTGCCCAATGTTTTGAGCAGCTGCCATCCGGAAGGAGATTAAGGGTCCCACTGTTCAGCAAGAATAGGAGCAGGGCAAGTTTCATTCCATCAGGCTGCTGAACAGTGGGACATAGGACAGATGCAGGTCCAATACACGGTTGGACAGTAGGCCGTAGAGACTTTGAATCAGTGAAAATGTAAATGTGTGACTTGAGTATTAACTTTCAAAATATCTAGTTTTTCGTACTGCATGTAATATATTGTGTTGTGTTTGTGTATTTGTAAGCTGACACCACAAAATGAATTTCCATGTAAATGGACAATTAAGTAAACTCAGCAAAAACAGAAATGTCCCTTTTTCAGGACCCTGTCTTTCAAAGATAATTCACACAAATCCAAATAACTTCACAGATCTTCATTGTAAAGGGTTCAAACACTGTTTCCCATGCTTGTTCAATTAACCATAAACAATCAATGAACATGCACCTGTGGAACGGTCGTTAAGACACTAACAGCTTACAGACGGTAGGCAATTAAGGTCACAGCTGATCGTCCTCGCAGTGGCAGACCACGTGTAACAACACCTGCACAGGATCAGTACATCCGAATATCACACCTGCGGGACAGGTACAGGATGGCAACAACAACTGCCCGAGTTACACCAGGAACGCACAATCCCTCCATCAGTGCTCAGACTGTCCGCAATAGGCTGAGAGAGGCTGGACTGAGGGCTTTTAGGCCTGTTGTAAGGCAGGTCCTCACCAGACATCACCGGCAACAACGTCGACTATCGGCACAAACCCACCGTCGCTGGATCAGACAGGACTGACAAAAAGTGCTCGTCACTGACGAGTCGCGGTTTTGTCTCACAAGGGGTGATGGTCGGATTCGCGTTTATCATCGAAGGAATGAGCGTTACACCGAGGCCTGTACTCTGGAGCGGGATCGATTTGGAGGTGGAGGGTCCGTCATGGTCTGGCGTGGTGTGTCACAGCATCATCGGACTGAGCATGTTGTCATTGCAGGCAATCTCAATGCTGTGCGTTACAAGGAAGACATCCTCCTCCCTCATGTGGTACCCTTCCTGACATGACCCTCCAGCATGACAATGCCACCAGCCATACTGCTCGTTCTATGCGTGATTTCCTGCAAGACAGGAATGTCAGTGTTATGCCATGGCCATCGAAGAGCCTGGATCTCAATCCCATTGAGCACGTCTGGGACCTGTTGGATCGGAGGGTGAGGGCTAGGGGCCATTCCCCCCAGAAATGTCAGGGAACTTGCAGGTGCCTTGGTGGAAGAGTGGGGTAACATCTCACAGCAAGAACGGGCAAATCTGGTGCAGTCCATGAGGAGGAGATGCACTGCTGTACTTAATGCAGCTTGTGGCCACACCAGATACTGACTGTTACTTTTGATTTTGACCCCCCCTTTGTTCAGGGACACATTATTCAATTTATTTTAGTCACATGTCTGTGGAACTTGGTCAGTTTATGTCTCAGTTGTTGAATCTTGTTATGTTCATACAAATATTTACACATGTTAAGTTTGCTGAAAATAAACGCAGTTGACAGTGAGAGGACGTTTCTTTTTTTGCTGAGTTTATATCGTATTGTACTACGTATACTGCAATGCTGTCGTTACTAAAAGGGACAGATCACTCCAAAATCCATTTTTCAGATGTTTTCAGATGTCCTAAGTGATCTAATGTTGAGATGAGTTGAGAACACACAATCTGTTATTTACAGTAGATCATGTTACATACCTCAATTCCTAATGAATTGGGAAATACTAGCAGTGTTTAAGACAGTGTTTTTCTTTCCCATTCTATTGTGGTTGAGACATATAAACTGGATCTACACAACATCTAAAAAAGTTTTATTCTTGAGTGAACTTTCCCTTTAAGGCACTATCCTGTACCCTTATAACAGACAAAATGTGTAAGGACAACTACTTTCTAAACTGTTTTCAAGCCTCTGTATGTTCCACCAATTCGGTGCCTTTTGAGAAGTGTAACTTGGTAAAAAAGAAAACGTTTGATTTCACTTCATTTTAACATTCTGTCATAAAGAGCACATGTTCAACTTCATAAAAAACACATTTTCCCATCTCAAGAGGTTACATTTAAAAAATGACTTTTGTAAGTGCCTATTAAGCGCCAAATATGTAACAGGGTTGACTGTAACAGGGTTGACCGTAACAAGGTTGACGATTTCATCTTAAATCAGTCATTGTGACAGGGGGAATAGAAGCCTGATGTGTGCAACAGGGAGTGGCAATTTATTGCAAGCTTTACAAAACAAATGAAATTGTTAAAAAATTTCTAGCCAGTCTATCTATACGTAACAGGGTTGACATGTTATGCTCGACCAGCTGTTTTACACGACAAAACACCAGAAAATTTACAAAAACAGTAGAACCAGCTCACCACCTTTAACACTATGATTTGACTATTAGATGTTCAATGTTTCTTAAAAAAATACAAAAATAATAAGGAACAGTTTCACAATTTTAAAATGAGAGTTCAGTTCACATAACAGGGTAAATTAATCCCTAATCACATTAAATAAATAATCATCTTCAGAAATGACTTTGTCAAAGCAACAAAATAACTAGGGCTTTACAATGATGGTGAAAACGTGGAGAAATGCTGGTGTTAAGTGGGTTAATATCTTCCTAGAAGTCACGGAGAGTACATGGAGGGACATGTGATTCAATCAGATTGATTGAATTCTCCATGTGGTCTATATTAAAGGGAACTTCATTTAATATAACAGTTTTAAAAAATGCAATATTGGTGCACAATTTCTCCTTAAAATATCAAAAGGCACTAATTTCGTGGAATGACCCGTAAATCTGCTGTACATGTCGTGACACCTCCCTAATCAACATTTGAAGAAAGTTAATAACACATGAATTAGCAAAGTGATGATTGACAGATCGTCAACTTCAACACTAAATTGATGCCCCCAAATAGCTCTGAAATGTAAAATTAGCACAAACACCATTGTTTTGGCAGCCTGTTCGTTAGGTCTTGTTCTAAAGCTTGCCAGGGCTTGATATCGCTCCTACAAGATGCAGGCAGAATTATGCAAATTCACTAGGCCGGATGGCTAACCAAACATCTACTGTAAATACCTACAGTAAATATTTTCATGCTCAGCCAGGAAATATTCATCCCATGTTCTGATAGAGATTCACATTTATTATGACAGCTTTTTCTACTCATGTTTTTACAAGTGTCCCAACTGTTTTCTTACGGGTAGCTCAGTGTTTCTGAAATTCTCATGTGTGTGTGTGTGCGTATGTGTTAGTGCCTGCTTATGCATGTGTGTGTGAATCTGTGCGTGCACGTGCATGAGTACGAGTGTATGAGGCGGTTACTCACGGGTGGTCTCCTGAATGGTCAAAGGGTCACTGGCCTCCTCTCCATACATGGCGTACACGGTCACTGTGTACTCTGTGTCTGGAGTCAGGGCCTTCAGTTCCACTTCATTCACCGTCTCAGCCACTTTCACCTGCACAAACAGTCATCAGAGACCTTAGACGAGGTGACAGACAGGTACGCAGAGAGGTTGGCAAAGGCGCAGGGGGTTGATAGAGACAGAATCAACCATCAAATAGACAAGGGCAAGGCGGTCAGACAGCCAAATAAAGTGGCAGCGAGCCAGCCAGCCAGCCAGCCAGCCAGCCAGCCAGACGTGATACATAAGTGTGTGAAAGAAGTGCCATTTCCTGCCTTTTAGAGAATGGAGCATACTGCCCCAGAATTCCATTAGTTTTATGCTAATCTAGCTAGAGGCTGCAGCATTTAACTAAACAACCGAGATATGCACTTAAAACCTGTCTGGATCGATCGACAACAGCCAGTGTAACTTTATTTGAAAAAGATACAAAAACTTCAAACCTCCCTTTGAGAAAAAAAAGAGAGAAAAGCCCCAGAAGGTCTTGTGTTGTGCCCCAACAGGCTGAGCAAGTGAAACTGTGAACCTGAACTGATGACTGTGCCTGGAGGGAGTGTTATTTTTTAATGAGCACTAACAGGATGGGTGGAATTTGATGGGTGGAGGAACTTCTCTCTCCCTCTCCATCTCTCCTCACCCCGTTCCACTGCACTAGTTAGAGCAGTGGTCACCAACCGGTCGATCTCCAAGTCATTCCTAGTCGATCACCAAACATTTCTGTAAAAAAAACAACGATAAAGCCTTGTTGGTGGTAGGTGCACTTGATTTAGCAGCCCTAGAGCGGGGAAGGTTATGAACCATTTCATGTGTCTGAAGGTAGAACTCCACCTACCCGGCAGGCCCAGAGAGTAAATCAAGTGCACCTATAGGCCTACAACTGGCCAATCAGATAGCTCAGATCACCGTGTCTGCACAGTTTCCTCGCACCATAGACTGTTAAAAGCATTGAACGCACAGCAAAGTTGATAATGTGAGATTTTAAAACTTTTAAAATCACGACTAGAGACTCAACGAATACAGCAAAGAGCTGCTGTTTTTCTGACTAAGTTCATGATTAAGTTGGTATTCAGCACTGTCAACACTTTGTTCAACAGTTTAATAAGCCATAAAATGCGCGCTCGCTACTTCCACTCACGCCAGTACTGCAGTATAGCAAAGTGTTTTGATAAGCTTGCGTTGTTATTATTAGCGGCTTGTGTATTTTTTTATATCGAGGAATATTTTACTTCTCTATTATGCTCACTCAGCTGTGCCTCACAAGTAATACAACAAATGATCTATTACCAGTGTGATCATATACCTACAATTTTGAAAGATAATTTCAAAATGGTCTGAGAAGATCAACATTGGCAGGGCAATTCAAGCATAGCCAATATGCAGTGATAATGTATTGGGCCTATAGCCTACTACACAAACCTCATTGCTACAAAACAGTTTTTAATTGGTTAATGTTGCATAGGCCTTTGTTTTTTAAGTCATGTTAAATCTTGGCTTGCATTTTGACTAAGAAACTGATCTTGACTCAGAAAAGGTTGGTGACCACTGAGTTAGAGTGTATTCTAAATATTTCATTGCCTTGAGTCTAAATTCCCTCTCCTACTACTTCTTTACTTTCATCTGTATTTAAAAGTGCCACTCCATTTCTTATATCCTCTTCTCTCTCCTTCCCTCTCCATCTGTCCATCTTTCTTCTTTCCTTTCCTTTCTGACAGTCATTTCTCCTCCCCTCTGTCTTTATTTTACCATCTCATTCCTCTTCTCTCTCATTTTCTCATCCTCTATCCTCTCCATCCTCCCTTCTGTCTCTTTTTTCTCACCTCCTTCTCGTCGACTTCGTCTCCCGCGGTCAGCGGGGCATAGAGGATCATGTAGCCAGAAGCCCCCTCTGCGACCCTCCAGCGTGCCCTCATGGTGTTGTGGGTGATGTCAAACAGCTCCAGGTTGTTCACCATGGGCAGGGCCACTGCAACACACAAGGGTCACATAGGTCATACACGGGTCACACCATATCATTACTAGAACAGGCATCAACATTCAAGTCAATGTTCAGGATTACAATTCCATGTCAGTCAAATTGAGTGTACCCATGAGGGTGCAGTCAAATTGCTGAGGTCAGAGGGGCTTTAGCCCATTCTAGTAATTGTATTTCTATGGGTCACACAGTGGTCACACACAGTTCACGCAGGGTTAAAACTAGGAAATGACTTAGACTAGTAGACCTGGGTTAGCAAAACCCTCCTAATGGAGAGCTCAAATCAAATCAAATGCTTTGTAAACAACAGGTGCAGACTAACAGTGAAATGCTTACCTACCGCATATGCAGGTTTTTGCTCCAGCCCTGCTCTGTCTAATCAGGGGTTAGAGGTAGGGAGGAGGTTAGGACACAGTTAGCAGTCCATTTGCCCTCTTCACATCCCAGCAGCAGCTGGGCCAGGTGCTTGGAGTGCCGGTAGGGAGTGATTACCTAGCTGAGAAGCTGATTGGGAGTAGCCTCCTGACCAGGTAGGGCTTTCCCATTTGTGTCTGAATCCTTTTCCTTAGTTTGGCATGCATTTTTGTTTTTCCTTTTGTAGACTATTATCTTTGTCAACATTTGAACCTAATAACCTGCTTGGGCTAGGCGACAACGGAGTCCCAACTGAGCTCTCCCTGGACCCTGGAGAGTAGGCTATGCTGTCTCCACTAGGGACAAAGACATACAACACCCTGTTCACTTACCTCGACTCGGAGAGGTTACAGACTTGTTAGCATGTCCTAGCTTCCCCTGATTTGCCAGTGTTTATATACACTCTTAGAAAATAAGGTGCTATCTAGAACCTAAAATGGTTATTCGGCTGTCCCCATAGGATAACCCTTTGAAAAACCCTTTTTGGTTCCAGGAATAACCCTTTTGGTTCCAGGTACTGTTGAACCCTTTTGGGTTCCATGAAGAACCCTTTTCACAGAGGGTTCTACATGGAACCCAAAATGGTTCTAACTGAAACCAAAAAGGGTTTTTCAAAGGGTTCTCCTATGGGGACAGCTGAAGAACCCTTTTGGAACCCTTTTTTCTAAGAGTGTAGGTTTGCTAACCAGTTTCGTAACATAGTAAATGGAGAAACAACAGTCAAATTGTAAACAATGAAGTCAACAGGCATAATTCACAATTCACACAGCAAAGAAATCTCCATTCCCGTTAACCTGTTTGGCCACGAGTGGCCACATCCCCTCACTTAAATTATCTACTTAAGCGCTCCAAAAGTGAGAGCATTTACAGCATTACTGGATGGAGTAAATTGTCTTTGTTCCCCCTCCATCTGTATGTCAGTCTGACAGCGGTAGGTTTACTCACCATCCCCTTTAACTTTGCATAAGGTCAATTGTGTACTTAGTAAACACAGATATCCAAGGTGGGATTCAGTTTTGTAACTAGACTTACATGTGGTGGCGCTGCCTCGGAGGGCCTCGCTAGCTGAGCTGGCGTAGATGGCGAACACGGCCACCTGGTACTCAGTCAGAGAGAGCAGGTAGTTGAGCACCACCGTGTCTACTGTGCCCTGCACCACCTTCTCCTCGGGCTGGCCCCCGCTGGTAGGGTAGAACACCACCCGGTACTTCTCCACCGTCCCTGGTGCGTGGGTCCACGACACCCGGAAACTCCTGGCTGTCACCTCTGAGGTCACCAGGTCACTGGGAGCGGCCATGGTGACTTCTGGGCCTCTGTCGCCTGAGAAGATGTAGGGTGGGTGAAGAAAGAGAAAGGGTGAGAGGATGAGAGGATGGATTTGTTTGCTTTCGTGTGGATTTTTCCAAAATGACTGAAGTGACACATTTCAAACACTGTCTGTTTGTAAAAAGGGATACTATATGACTAAATGTCTTTAATGCTCACCTGTGATGTAACCAGACCTGGGTTCAAATACTGTTTCAAATATCTCAATTACTTTAACATACATTCAAAGTAAGTATTCAGATTGATTTTTTGTTGAAAAGACAAGTAGTTGAATATGTTAATGTATTTGGAAAATAAACTTGAAAAGTATTTGAAAATGCTGTCAAATACAATTATGGCAGACAACTTGGTTTTTACAAATAACCATTAAATTACTCAAATAGAAGTATTTGTTTTGGGCTGTGCATTTCAAAATACTCAATACTATGGATTTTAAATACCAGATGGTGAATTACACATGTATTTGAACCCAGGTCTGGATTTAACATTTTCAATTCTCTTTTCTGAATCTACTACCCTACTTGAATCTGGCTCACCTTTGATTGCCTTGTCGAGCTGTTCGACCCGGTCGCAGATGGTCCTGGACAGACCCTCCACGATGGAGCTCATGGCGCTGAAGTCGGCCACGTTGTAGACGTGCGTCTCCTCTGGAGGCGAGCCGATGGCCTTCAGCTCTTTCTCATCGGCATTCTTCACACCTTTACAGAGAAAGAGGTAGAGAGAGTGAAGGAGGAAAAGGGGGAGAGAGAGACACCGGCAGAAAGAGAGAGAGGGAGAGATGAGTAGGATGAGTAGAATGAGACATCTCTAGATGACATATCACTACACTAAGCAGGTGTCAGAACAGGTGGCTTCACACTCAAAACAGTTTTCCTAAATATAAATGTTAAAGGTGAAAAAAATGTCCTCCATTCTTCAAGAAAAGTGCATCTGCATTCAACTATCTCTTTAACTACACTAGTATATGAGCATTTAGACAGAATTAAGATGCATATTTTTCTCATACCAATGGCAAACAGCTCTATTCCCGCCTCTCTCAGACTCTGAGCCGGGGGTTGGACATCGTCTTGAGACTTCCCATCTGTGATCAGGATTCCAATTTTGGGAACGCCGGCCCTGGATCCTGACTCAGTTTTATAACTGTTCTCCAGGATGTACGTCAATGCAAGACCTAGAGAGAAAAAGATCAGCATACTGTCTAACTCCTGCATACACAGGGGTTCTTGAGGAGTGTCACATACAGTATTAGCGTCTTTGTTAGGTTATTGGGTTGCCTGTCTAAATCTCTAAGATATGGTCAAAATGTAATACAAACCTGATTGACAATCTGTTTATCTGGACATCTAATACATTGTGGCAGAATAACATTATGAGCGTAATATGTGTCGGTGGGTAATGTGTATTACGTGGAGTTCAGTAGTATTACAGAGAACAGAGGAAGAAAGGATTCCTTTCCAGTACCCGTCAGTGTGTTCCCTCCTTTGTAGGGCAGGTTCTTCACAGCGTTGATGACTGCTTCTTTGGTGGTGAAAGTGTTCAGGTGCCACTCAATCCTGGGGTCACCACTGTACTGGGCTAGACCTGTGCACAGGGTATCAACACTATGAGCTTCTCTCAACACACATCCACATGTGTACTGACAATAATAATTTATTACTCAGATGAAACACAGCAGCACAACAACACAGAAACTACAGTACCTGTGACTCCAGTGGGTGGAATAGACAGGATATGGCCATGACCATATGGCTAATTGGCTATCACCATCTAATCATGAGTGCTTTAGCAATACTGCTTTCTCATAATTATAATGATGATGACAATGATAGGGAAAGAACATCAATAAACCAGTAAAATGGCTGATGGATGGTTTCCTCACCTATCCGTGTCTTGTCAAACTCCACATGGAAGGCGCTAACCAGATTCTCCAGGAACATGCGGACCTGACGGAAGTTTATCCGTCCGATACTCCATGATCCGTCCACCAGGATCACAATATCCGCTATGGCCGGGGTTTTACACATAAACTGCTCTGTAAAGGAAAGTAATACAGACCAGATATGTTTATACCAACATACTAATGACATAGCATTAAAACATTAGCCTAGATAAAACACAAGAATACACAACACACCACTACTGTAGCGTAAAGGGGAAAGTAAGGTCACTGAAGAGAGTAACTTATCAAATACAGGTAAACTGAATCAAACATCAAACAATTACAATGTTATCATGATTTTTAAAAATCATTTTTAATTATTTGAAGTGCAGCTTAGGTCCAAAGCATTTGTTTATTCAGTTCAACCCATCTACCCACAAAAGTATAATTCATGCTAAATAATGCTGGTGCTTACGAATACACCCAATCAATGAAATAAAAGATGCCTTAATTAGGTGACATTTTATTTCGACACTATGCTACATAGCCTTTCACATAATAATATATCTCATTATGCCTCCTCTCACAGTCTGTGCCGATCCATTAAAGTAGAGACAGGCCTGTCATTAGACCACAAACAGACATGACAGCAATGCGCTGGTTATTATCCTGACCCAACACACTCAGATAGCGTGAGGGAATGCCATTGAGCCAGAACTTTCTTTGTGGATTCAGGTTTCTGCAGGATATGCACAAACCTGCATTGAATATGCTTATGTCTCTTAAGTTCAGGAAAAAACTGTCAGACTTTCAGTCTTGCACAATAAATATACCCGTAATCAAGATTTCTCCTTTTTTTTGTACAGTATATTTCTCCTATACCAATTGTTGTGGGTGTGTGTGTGTGTGTGGTGTGTGTGAGAGAGAGAGAATTGTGAAATTGTGTGACCAGCAAAGACACAGATAACTAGAATAGGGCAGTTTATTGATTAAAAGTAAAATACTGTAAAAGTGATTCCAGATTCCATCAGCCTTTATGGTGGATTACAATGATTGATTTCAGATTCTAAATGAGTTGTAGGTGGTATAGTGCCTTCAGAAAGTATTCACACTCCTTGACTTTCTCCACATTTTGTTACGTTACAGCCTGAATTGAACACTTATTAAATAGAGATTTTTTTTGTCACTGGCCTACAAACAATACCCCATAATGTCAAAGTGTATTTATTGTTTTCGAAAATTTTACAAATTGATTAAAAATGAAAAGCTAAAATGTCTTGAGTCAATAAATATTCAAACCCTTTTGTTATGACAAGCCTAAACAAGTTCAGGAGTAAAACATTTGCTTAACAAGACACATAATAAGTTGCATGGACTCACTCTGTGTGTAATAATAGTGTTTAACATGATTTTTCAACAACTAGCTCATCTCTGTACCGCACACATACAATTATCTGTAAGGTCCCTCAGTCGAGCAGTGAATTCTCACACAAATCATCAAGGAACCTACCAGGTACAACCCTTAATCCGTAAACATGGGTACCCTCATAGATATCATCCTGACTAATTTACCCTCTAAATACACCTCTGCTGTCTTCAACCAGGATCTCAGCGATCACTGCCTCATTGCCTGTGTCCGTAATGGGTCCGCGGTCAAAAGACCACCCCTCATCACTGTCAAACGCTCCCTAAAACACTTCAGCGAGCAGGCCTTTCTAATTGACCTGGCCCGGGTATCCTGGATGGATATTGACCTAATTCCGTCAGTAGAGGATGCCTGGATGTTTTTCAAAAGTGCTTTCCTCTCCATCTTAAATAAGCATGCCCCATTCAAAAAATTCAGAACTAAGAACAGATATAGCCCCTGGTTCACCCCAGACTTGACTGCCCTTGACCAGCACAAAAACATCCTGTGACGTACTGCATTAGCATCGAACAGTCCCCACGATATGCAGCTTTTCAGGGAAGTCAGGAACCAATATACACAAGCAGTTAGGAAAGCAAAGGCTAGCTTTTTCAAACAGAAATGTGCATCCTGTAGCACTAGCTCCAAAACGTTTTGGGACACTGTAAAGTCCATGGAGAATAAGAGCACGTTCTCCTAGGAAACACTGTCACCACCAATAAATCTACGATAATCGAACATTTCAATAAGCATTTTGCTACGGCTGGCCATGCTTTCCACCTGGCTACCCCTACCCCGGCCACCAGCTCTGCACCCTCCGCTGCAACTTGCCCATCCTTTCCCTACTTGGGGTAAATTAGTGAACAACAATGCTTAGGCCTCTACTTCCAGCTTATACTTACTATCTACATTTTATGGACACAGTCAATTTTACAATAATTCTATTTTATTAGTTTTTGCTCCTGAACTTCTTCTACTCTCAACCTCTCCGATAATTTTCATGATGTCCATCCGGTTTGCTTCTATATGCCATATCTTTCTAACTGTGCTCTTTCCCAAAAGCTCCCAACATACAACCTATATACTTATTATGGACACAGTATGCTTACATTATTAGCTATCTTTGTTATTATTTGTTATTTGTTATTAGTCCCATCCTTCAACTCTATTCAATACCTCCCATCTATCTCTTAACACCATCCATATAGGATTTCTATTTGCCATATATATTTCAACCGTACTGTGATGTTTTACTAAAGTTCTGAACCTTTCTATTCTCATTGCTTCTACAGATTGTGAATTAAAAATAAAGAAATTTGCTAAAAGTATTATTATATTATTGATTGATCGACTATGACTTTTCAGATCACCCAGTAATGCTATCTGCAAGGTTAGCTCCAAGTAAATATTGCAATCCTTTAGCCATTCCTGGACCTGTGTCCAAAAACAAGCTACAAATGGACAGAACCAAAACAAATGATCTAATGATTCTGTCTCTTCACAGCAAAATCTGCAGAGCTGGGAAGATTGTATCCCCCATATAAATAACATTCTATTGGTAGCAAGAATATTATATAATAATTTAAATTGAAAGATTCTAATTTTTGAATCCGGTGTCGTTTTGCGTGTCAGTTCATGAACACTATGCCATGGGATCGGTAGGTCAAAAATCTCTTCCCAACTATTTTGCAATCTATATGGGACGGCTGTCAATCCATTGGTCCTTAAATGAAACTGATATACTTTTTTATTTATCACAGTTTTCCTTAACCAATTATGTTCTTTAATAAAAGGCCGACAGACAAGTTCCTTACTTTCTCCCCCTTCCACTTTCCTCTTCCATTTTTGCAGTAAGGCTGCAATTATTTGGTTGTAATTTTGGGTAGAGCAGACATTTCCATATGTTTTTGTTAGCTGCATGTGCGACATAACTCCACCAGTCCTACCGATGATATCATTTACGAAGATTATACCTTTTTTTTTAATTTTGTCAAAAGATAAAGGTCACCGCATTCTTATTGGCAGACTAAATAACCTTGGTTTCTCAAATGACTGCCTCGCCTGGTTCACCAACTACTTCTCAGATAGAGTTCAATGTGTCAAATCGGTGGGCCTGTTGTCTGGACCTCTGGCAGTCTCTATGGGGGTGCCACAGGGTTCAATTCTCGGGCCAACTCTATTCTCTGTGTATATCAATGATGTCGCTCTTGCTGCTGGTGACTCTCAGATCCACCTCTACGCAGACGACCCCATTTTCTATACATCTGGCCCTTCATTGCACACTGTGTTAACAAACCTCCAAACGAGCTTCAATGCCATACAACACTCCTTCCGTGGCCTCCAACTGCTCTTAAACGCTAGTAAAACTAAATGCATGCTCTTCAATCAAACGCTGCTTGCACCCGCCTGCCCGACTAGAATCACTACTCTCGGCGGGTCTGACATAGAATATGTGGACAACTACAAATACCTAGGTGTCTGGTTAGACCGTAAACTCTCCTTCCAGACTCACATTAAGCATCTCCAATCCAAAGTTAAATCTAGAATCGGCTTCCTATTTCGCAACAAAGCCTCCTTCACTCATGCTGCTAAACATGCCCTCGTAAAACTGACTATCCTACCGATACTTGACTTCGGCGATGTCATTTACAAAATAGCTTCCAACACTCTACTCAGCAAATTGGATGTAGTCTATCACAGTGCCATCCGTTTTGTCACCAAAGCCCCATATACTACCCACCATTGTGACCTGTACGCTCTCATTGTCTGGCCCTCACTACATATTCGTCGCCAAACCCACTGGCTCCAGGTCATCTATAAATCACTTCTAGGCAAATCCCCGCCTTATCTTAGATCATTGGTCACCATAGTAACACCCACCCGTAGTATGCGTTCCAGCAGGTATATCTCACTGGTCATCCCCAAAGCCAACACCTCCTTTGGCCGCCATTCCTTCCAGTTCTCTGCTGCAAATGACTGGAACGGACTGCAAAATCTCTGAAGCTGGAGACACTTATCTCCCTCACTAACTTTAAGCATCAGTTGTCAGAGCAGCTTACTGATCACTGCACCTGTACACAGCCCATCTGTAATTAGCCCACCCAACTACCTCATCCCCATATTGTTATTTACATTGTTATTTATTTTGCTCATTTGCACCCCAGTATCTCTATTTGCACATCATCTTCTGCACATCTATCACTCCAGTGTTAATACTAAATTGTAATTATTTTGCACTATGGCCTATTTATTGCCTTACCTCCATAACTTACTACATTTGCACACACTGTATATATATTTTCTATTGTGTTATTGACTGTACATTTTGTTTATTCCATATGTAACTCTGTGTTGTTGTTGTTTTTATCACACTGCTTTGCTTTATCTTGGCCAGGTCGCAGGCCAGAACTTGTTCTCAACTGGCTTACCTGGCTAAATAAAGGTGAAATAAATAAATAAAATAAAAAATTCAAAACACAGATTCAACCACAAAGACCAGGGAGGGTAAAAAAAAGAAAAGAAGACCTTGAAAATCCCTTTGAGCATAGTGAAGTTATTAATTACACTTTGGATGGTGTATCATAACACCCAGTCACTACAAAGATACAGGTGTCATTCCTAACAGGCGTCATTGCCGGAAAGGAAGGAAACATGAGGCCAATGGTGACTTTAAAATAGTTTGGGTTAAATGGCTGTGATAGGAGAAAACTGAGGATGGATCAACTAACCTAATTGACAAAGTGAAAAG